GCAGGGTCCGGGAATGTGCATTGGAGGGGTCATGACTCTTAGGGCAAGAAACCCCTGTCTATTAATATATGGCGGTGTCTCCCCTCCAAAAGTGGTTTGATTCCCACTAAAACCAGGGACACCCTCAGATGAATAAACAGGGATTTATTAATCCGGGGTCAACGGTCCCCCCCCAAAAAAAAATGGAAGCCAAGAAGTGACCCACACTCCTGTCTGCACTTCTCGAAGAAAGCGACGAAGGAACTCTCGCTGACCACACTCTCCTCACCAGCGCACAAGAAAACAGGTCATGTTTCAGCTTCGGTGGGGTGTGCTCATTGTGAGACCTAAGTGGATAGGCCAAAACAAGTCCAAACTGTTCTTCCAGTTTGCTGTTTCGCCCCCTGGAACAAATAAGAACAGAATGCCAGTAGTGAAATCGATTCCCTTTTCAACCCGCAAGAGAACATAACAAATACAGCAAATGATCATCTCACCGAACGAGTAGATGGGCCAAAACCCGTATCCAAACTTGTTAGTTGCCGCTAAAATGGGCTTACCGAAAAAGCGACTAAAAGTTCAGGAACTCGCGAAGTGAGTGGTGGAAGGGCACTTTCTCTATGCCAAGAGTTGTCGCTTCAAAAGGAATGCTTGCCACATGAGTGTGCTCCCCGGCATCCGCGCTGGTGAAAAGCCTTGGCTGTTCGCCCACTCTTGGCCTACGCCAAAGTATCCTGTAAGCACGGCTGAATGCATCTAAAGTGATGCCGACCGCGGATTTACAAATCTTGCAGACTTGCAGGAAGGTGCTCCCCTCCAAAGTGAAGTCCCAACATGGGGGCACACCTATAAATCAATCAGGGCGTTCTCGATCCGGGGTTCCCATTACCCCACAAGCCCATTCAAATCTAGGTCCTCCAGTAGAGAGGTTAGAACAAGTTGGTACCCTTAATACAGGGTACCAACTTTCGTTCTGTTCTATTTCAGTAGGGGAACCCTCCCCCACAAAAGGGTCAAAGGGCACTACTGGGGGACCTAGAAATTATTTGCACCGTTCGAAGCTTGGGATTGCCAACCTCGAATTGCAAAGAGATCCTTCCATTTGGTTAAGACCCCTGGAAAAACTAAAAATACTTCCAGTAGTGAAATCGATCCCCTTTAAAACCAACAGGAGGGACAAATCTGAAAAGCAAATGGAAGGATCGCTTTTGCGGAGCCAGGGTTCCTCCAAACCGAATCTCAGGGGTCCAAACCCTCCAAACGTGGTCTGTGTGTGTGTGTGTGTTTGCGCGTGAGTGTGTGCGCACGTGCACGCATGTCAGTTTGTCTGTTCGAGAGTTCGCGTTTCAGCTTGGTTGCAAGGGGAACCAAAAGGAAAACCGCCGGTTCAGGTCGGTTAATACATTTGACACCTGATTACCCGCAACTGGGATTCCCGGGCCTTGAATTCTCACTTCCTGAATGGAAAGGCCAAAAAAGGGTTGAACTTTCATTTGCCAGGGCAGTGGGAAATGCCAACTTCTGTGATACAAGAAAAAGGTCCCTCGAACACTGCCCCGCCGTTTACACAGGGGATTCCCCATCACAGAAGTTGAGATAAACCCCGAGTGATCAACCACAACCCTGTGCCGCAGAAATGGTCTTCCCCCCGAAAAAAGCTTAGGCCCTTGAAAAAAGGAACACCTGAAAAAGGTAAGCCCAAAAAAGGATTGAACTTTCATTTGCCACACCAATGGTCTTCCCCCAAAAAAGTGGTCTTCAAGTCCATGAGCTCAGTGGGTCAGATAGCACGCGATCGATGTTCTCGTCTCCTCCTCACCGGCCGCGGACCTATGCAGCTTGCCGACTCGAAAGCGGGATCCTATTGCCGACTCTTACTCTAACAGGGATCCTCACAGCCTGGGATCCTCACAGCCTCATGACTGGGGCTTCACATGGCTACCACTCGCTCACTTGTCCAAACAGGGATCCGGATACATGAAAAACACCTGAACATTGCCAAAAGTAAATGGTGGTTTCCAACTTGATTTTGGTGTTGAAAAAGCAACATGTTTCAAATGGTTGCAAAATGTATCCTTTAAGGGGCCCTGTCTAAAGCGGGACGAAAAGGACACGCATACCTCATTTCAGTGCCCCTGGGACAAAACATCGCACGAGTGACTGACGAAGACTTCTACAGCAGTTTGTCTACGTAGCTTGTCTTTGAATCTGGAACCTTTTTTTAGGAAGACCCTTCTTAGTTAACCAGACCCAAAAAAAAAAGGAAAAGGGTGCCACCTGAGACACACGATGACCTGTTTTTTTTGGAGTTCGAGCCACTCTTGTTTCAAGTGCGTTGTATTTGTTGGGTTGTATTCAAGGGGATGAGGAAACCAACACCTCACGGATTAACGGGGCTAAAGGAGTGGTGGCCAATCCGAATTTCCATAATCCCTATTGGAAAGCCACAAAAGGGACCGGTTCCTTGCGTAAGGCAGTGGTAACTTGGTTGCTGTTGACCCCCCTGAAACAGTTTAGCTTTTGGGGGGGCTTAGTGGAAACCACCTTTATTTCCCAACAAGTTAGTCTAAAGATCCAACCCAATAGCCGTCAAGGTAAAGGCTAAGGATTGCTTTACGGCAAAAGCACACAGGGCTTCAGCCAAGCTCTGGGCATTGGTTAAGTTGCAGCTCGGAGCAAGCGTTACTCCTGGCTTCCGTCCGCCAAAGTTTGTCCGGTGCCCGGACATTTCGCCGAAGACGCCGTCGTTCGCGATGTCTTTGGCCTGGAAAGCGCGCGAGACTTCTCGCGGACACTCTTCATCCAGGACCCTGAGCCAGCTAGGGTCATACATGGGTGTCTTGTTTTAGGGGACCCCAATGGAAAGTGTTCCTTGATGTTCCCTTTTCAAGCCACACAACAGAACTACCTTAAAAGACACACCCAAACATGGCTTGATAGATTCAATCAAGAGCGCCAAGCAAAAAAAAAAAAAACAGCCCAACTAGCCATAGACTCCATGTCGGCGAGCCCCGTGTCGCATGAGAGACTTCAGATCGGAGGCCGCCCCGCCGCCCCTTTTCCTCTGAGCTCGAAACTGGGTCTCGATCAATTTTCTTGAGAAATCTCGATCCGCGCCCGGCGCCCGGGGCTCCGTTCTGTACGAAGAACGTCGCGGGCTACCAGCGTGATGTCATTTGCGTTGCTCACTTCCCAAGGGATTAAACAGGGCTAGAGACAGTATCATTGTTGCGAGTGACCCGTTTCATTTCACGAGATGATCATGGTAATCCTCCACGCAACTTGCGATTCCATGATTTCTGGAAAGAAGGTATATTGTCGCAATCAACTTCCCAAGAGATTTCCAGAGATCATAGTGGCACACAAGCTCATAGTGGCACACAAGCTCAGGTTCTGCCGCAAAAGCCAAATCCGGAGGTGAGTCCAAGCACCTTTTCATGTTGGCTCCGTTGCGAGCCATTGAGTGCGCAAGAAGGTGGGGGGCTTTGCAGCTTGAGCGGTGAAGCAAGCCTAGTTGTTCTTCCTCCTTTGGTCGGGGCAGAGCTCGGTCGCGAGCCGACCTTTTGACCTTTCAGTTATTTTGCCCCTTTCTGGTACCCATTTTCAGGGTGCCCAAAAGTGATCGCCTTTTTTTTCCAGGTCCTTTGGCAGGGCTCCTTAAAAGATCTCCATTTTGCAACCAATTGAAACATGCTGCTTTTTCAACACCAAAATCAAGTTGGAAACCACCATCTACTTTTGGCAATGTTCGGGTGTTTTTCATGTATCCGGATCCCTGTTTGGGAAAGTGAGCGAGTAGCCACGTCAAGCCCCAGTCATGAGGCTGTGAATGTTTAGGCGAATAGGCCTAGAATGGTTGCGAAATCGACCAGCCCATTTGAAAGGGAGTGTGGATCCATGGGGTGTGTGCCACGGGTTTGGAGAAAGTTGCATCCCCATGCCCTAGTTACTGTATTCTGCAGGGATATCCAGTAAGGGAACTCCGCTTAGATCAATTCTCTGTTGTTCCTTGGCGGGTTTAGTGGAACAAATAGTACAACGCGAGGTCCCGTCTCTCCTTTTTGTTTTGTGGATCAAGAAAGCATCAAACAAGCTGTGGCTTGGAGCCGCGTGTCTGATCCCACTTGGATCCCCTTAAATGGTCGTTTTGTGGTTATTTGGTTGTCACGTGTTTGCTTTCGCTCGACTTTGCCTCGCTGCCTAGCTGCCCTAGCTGCCTCGCTTGACGTGTATTTTCGAACCGACCGCGTGTCCTCATTTGGATTGCTCACACTTGGCATGGAATGGGGGGACCGGTTGGGGGAAGTGGTCCGTAACCCTTGCTCACGATCTACGGTGAGCAGACCTCAACGGCACACTTCCCGGCGAGGGATTGCAGGTTCTGAAGTGCACCCTGGCTGACCCAGATGTCAAAGCTCTCTTTGATAGGTCCAGAGGGATTGTTTTTTGGAACTCACATTGCAAGGCTTTGATTTGTCTCGATCTTCAAGGACGCCATCCATGTTGGGGCTGCCATGTGGGCGGCAAACGCCTGTACAAAATTGCCGGAGCCCAGAATTGAGGACAGCCAACGCGGTGATGTGTAAGGGGGACATGGGAGCCCTGTTTCAGTTCGGGGGGCAAAAGCAGAAGTAAGCAATCAGGTTCCAGTTTCAACAGGTTGGGGGCAAAAGCAGAGGCAGCTGCTCGGTGTCAAGAAGCACTCGAACCCCTTCCCCCCCCCCCCCGCAAAGGTCCTTGCTATGGGCAGTTTTGCGGTGTTTGCCTTACGGGCGCACAGCAGAACAAAGCAAAAACTGTCCATAACACAAGCTCAGGATCATGCCGGTAACTAGGCTGGAATTAGGCCCCCAGCAAAAAATAGCTTTTTTTGCTTGGTTAGTGGAAACAAAGGGATCCACAAAAGCACAAAACAAAGAAGGAGAGATAATTCTGGGGAAGGTAAGATCCCGTCAGACCGCAACCCGCTGGCATTTCTCACAAGAAAACCGCCGCGGCGCGCCGACAAGGAGTCTCCTCCATCACCAGATTCCTGGCGCATGCGCTCGGGCAACCAGGGCTGAATGGCTGATTTCCCGCGGGTGGAAGGGCAACCAGGGCCCCAGCTTGGCATCTTTCGCACTTCATCCCTTCCATTTGCTTAATTAAGCCTCCGAATAAAATATGTCCAGCCGGGTTAAGTCTGCTACCCTAATGGTCAAGGGGAGCCTAATGGTCAAGGGGAGCCGCCCCAAGCAGTACTTCCATTTGCTTGTTTGCCCCCTCAGAAAATGAGAAAATATGTCCAGTAGTGAAATCCATTCCTTTTAAAACCAACAGGGGAAAAAGATCCTGAAGCAAATGGAAGATCCTGTACCTTCCCCATTCTTCTCCAAAAAAGGGCCAAACCGTTGGGGAATTGTGTGGTTTCTGAAGGGAACGATGGATGAAGAGAATGGGGCGTCAGCCCTTATGGTGTACTTTGCTACCCCCGATGTAAGTAGAACCTGGGGGGCTCCGGGGGGGGGGGAGCGGGGGGGGGCCACTACAGATCAATGGGGATTACGAGAAGGAATTGGACACCTGCCTTGGATGAACCAGAAGCTCATCATCTGGGGAGTCCACATGGGTCTGTGCCAAAATAAGGTGCTCGAAGGTATGGTTCGGAGGTATGATTCGTGGTATGGAGCGGGGATACGGTTCGCACTGGTCGAACTTCCATCCTTTACTAAACCTTGCGCACCTTAAAAAGGCACAAATCCACATGAAGTCATGAAGGTATTGTCAAGGCGCAGGGGGCCCGAAATGAACCAGCCGATTCCGGTGCACCTGCCCAGGTGAGAAAAACAAGTGGAGCCAACGTACGACTCGCTTCTCGAGTGGATGGCCCCCCGCAACAAAATCCAAACTTGTGATTTGCAACTAAGCTTGTCGTCCCAAAAAGTTTGAAGTCCGGGAACTAAGGAAGTGAGACAACCTGGATCGCCAGTTGCTGCTTTTTGTCCATCCACTTTACCACAAAAACAAGCAACAGTGACTGAAAAAAACAGCAACTTGGCTATCCAGCAAGAGCCGAAACGGAGCCCGGCCGAACATCGACGGCAGCTCCGGCCTCCCAGCTTGTTCTGCGCCTCTTGGCTCATTCGGCCGGTGGTGAGCAGCCAATTCTGCGCTTCCAGGTAGTTGGTGGGCGCAATGCCTCAGTCATCCCTGGTGTAGGGGGGAGCGGGTGGGGGGCCGGGACCCAATTCCATTGATCCAGCGGTTACCCCCTCCCTGACTTCCATTTTTAGGGGGTGGAAGGGGAAAAAAGGGAACCCTTTTTGGGGAAGCGGGGCAGCCACCACAAAAAGAAAAAAAATGGTGCCACTGAACAACTCAGAAGAAGGAACCCAAGCTGAGTCACGTCCGCCCTTCCGATAGAGGGGCAGGGGGCCGGGACCCAATTCCATATTTCTAGTCTTCCCCAGGAAAAAACAGAAAACAACAAACAGGCCCATGAACGGAATTCCTGAATTCACCCCCCTCCCCAAGTCCACTTTTAAGGGGACGGGGGGGTGAGTCACAATGAAAAAAATGCCATTTGGTCTACCCAAAGCCACGTGAATCAAACGGACATCTTCACCTTTTGCTGGGGCAGTTCCTTACTAACCTGTATCCCCAGCGCCCTCAAAATAGCTCCTTTTTGTCGTGAACCTTGAGTTTGGCAGTGAGTAAGAGTAGTAAAGAAGCACATGGAACCCCAATTGTGGATTCTTGCTGATTGTCACTCACTCGCAAAGCGCTACACCTCCAGCAAGGCTTTTGAACCATCTGAGAAGAGTGGCCCAAACTTCTCTTCCGGCCATGCCCTAGGAATCCTACTGCACCACCTAAGAAACCCTGGAATGATGATTCACCTGTAAATGCCAACAAACAATGGTTTCAACCGTAGTTTCAACGTGGTGCGAAATGGATTTTGTCCATCCACAGTATGTATGGCTGTCTCAATCCCGGCCCCATCCTCAAGAGGTGCGGCCGCAAACCCGAGAACGGTACCTCCACTCAGTTGCGCCAAACAGGACCCCGGAAAAAAAGGTGATCACCCTTTGAGGCCATGACTAAAATGGGCACCAAAACAGGACAACCAAAAGCTCAAAAGGGTGTGTCTTCTTTTAACTCCAAAAAAACACCCACTTGGTAGGGGTCCCCTCAAAAAAATAGATTTATTGCAAAAACAAAACAAAACACGTCAGCCTTGGGCGCCACCGAGTCCAACCACCCCAAAGGGCATTCAAAGGGCATTGTCATTTCTGCGCCAAGGCACGGAGCGCCTGGTTCCAGTACTCCGCCGCCTTATCCTCGGCAGTCGAGCTGGTGGCTTGGCGGTTTTCCGCCGCACCAAACGCGGAAAGTACGGCCTGGAATGAGACGAATGTCTGGGCAAAAAAACAACTGTTTACGGTTGCTATTGACACTCTTACCCCTTAAAACTCCAAGCAACCTGGGGAAGTTCTCATCTTTTACAGACATATAGCCCATGTTACCCAAAAAGTTGAAAAGTTGCGTTTTTAAGAGGAGCACTAGTCCCCAGATTGAAAAACAACCATGCTGACCCCGGATAAATCAACCCGTCTTACTAGTAGGGGGTGTTCCCGTTCAAAAGTGACGAACCCCCACTAAAGAAAAGGGGACACTTGGCCAATAATCAACCACGAAGGTCAACATGACCTGAAAATCCAGGGGTTGATTCCAAGTCCATTCTTTTTAACCAGCGTTCTTTTCAAAAATCAGCCGTTTTCCCTGACATTCTGGAGGTTTTCTAGAAAGAAGGATCCCTAGAAAGAATGGGGAAGGTACCCCCGGAGTTTTGTGGTTTTTCCTTTGGTCAGCTTCCCTCTAGTTGGTGGTTTGGAGAGGCCCAATCCCAACCACCAACTAGGGGTTATCTGATTCTGCTCTTTCCAACCCAAACGGTACGGTAGCAAAGTGGTGTTTTTTGTAGCAACAGCGGTGCTTTTGTTCCTTCTGTCAGCTTCTCCTCTTGGTGGTTTGGAGCCCAATTTTTAGGTAGTGTCCCGGCTCGGGATTTCCCATCAAACCCTCTAGACACAGGGACCCCTTCAAATCCAAATCCAAACCACCAATCCCAACCACCAACTAGGGGTTATTCGGATTTTCTTCTTTCCAACCCAAACCAGGGTACCACTTTTTGCCTACCGCAAGGTAGGCTTAAACCAAGGGGGTTCCCTTGGGGGGAAACCAGCCACCCCTACTTTAAGTCGACCTTTTCGGTAGTCAAAAAGTGGAAGCTGAACCCAAACAGCATAGTAGCAAAAGTGGTGGTTTGTTGCATCTCCCAAAAAAATGAACAGAACTAAAAAAAGCTGACAAACCAAACAGCAACATGATCCAACAACTGCGAAGTAGTCTGTTTGCAGGGGATGAAACAAAGCCGGAAAACTGTGTGGAGGAATCCAACGAAAAAAGCCACAAGCTGGTCTTCTGATATTGACAAAATGGAACATGGCGAAGGGTTACCTACTAGAACGGCTTGCCTGGGACGCACTGGGCTTGTTTGGAGGGGATGTCCTTTTTACAGACTATCACAAAGGGTGTCCAGTTAGTTCTTTTCTTGAATGTTCAGCCCACTGTAGGTTGTAACCAGCCATCTTCCCTACTCACTTCCTGAGTGGACAGGCCAAAACAAGTCTTGAGCTTGTCATTTGCCACTAAGTCCATGAACTCAGGGAGTGAGACTAGGCTTTCAACTGGGATCCAGCTAGATCTGGGATTATAATACTTCACCCGCCTGAATCTTGCGGTGGTTGGGGGGCTATTCCCCACATCAACCACCATTTGGGGTGAATTCGGTCGTGCGAGGTCGATATAATTCACCCAGTTAGATGCAAAAGGACCCCATCAAAAAAAAGGAAAAGTTTTTTTTGCCCGGTAGTGGAAAACAAAGGGAACCCCAAAAGAGCAACACACAAAAAAGGGAGGAGACGCAACCCCTCGCTTAAAACCCCGAGAGTCGTAGAGCACCGTGGACTTGTCGAGGGCGCCTTTCTTCTCTGCCCGCACCGCCTGGTCGTGGTAGATGACCTGAATCTTGGAAGGACGGAAGAACGGAAGAGCCATGGCCATGGGCGGCGTTTCAATTTTGGCTTCCTGAATCTTGGCTCAGCCCCCGTTTCTCCTTCCCTTGGTTGGCGAGACCCCCGTGCAAAAAGTTATTCACTTCTTGGGGGGTTTGGTGGAAAACGCCTTGCTTGATTTTGCAAAAAGTGAAAGTCTAAAGGTCCAACCCAATAGCAGTCAAGCTTTTGGCTTCCCTTTACAGCAGCGCCAAAAAGCGTACTGTCATCCGAAAAAAAAGCAGACTCACGAGCCTGTAAGATGTAATGGTGCATTGTCTTGGGTGCTGGAAGGACCCCCGAACGCAAAAAGCTCTAGTCACTGTTTGGGGGGTTTAGTAGAACAGGGATCCGTACATTATACACCTGAACATTGCCTTGTAAATGGTGGTTTCCAAGTTGATTTTGGTGTTGAAAAAGCAACATGCTTCAAATGGTTGCAAAATGTATCTCTTAAGGAGCCCTGTAGAACACACCGTTAGTTCAACCAAAAAGTTAAAGTCTAAAGATCCAACCCAATAGCAGTGAAATGGACATCTCCACCCGAGCCAAATGCCCGAGCCCGACAGCACGAGCCATCAGAACATCTCGCTTCCTGGGCGGCCCAAAACAGTCCAAAACTTGTCATCTCTACTCTTGGTTTACGGCAGCAACAAACTGACTGTTTTTGCAGACCCCCAGTAAAAATGAACAGAACCAAAAAACTAGAAAACTAAAAAACACATGCCAAGAACGGTGAAGGCACAACTAAACTGGTCTTCCCGAAAAGTTGCAAGTCCATGAACTCAGGAAGTGATAAATGCGGTGTTCTTCTCCCGGAAGGGTCATGGAAATGGTGAGTCGCGTTGTCTTGTCTTGTGGGACATCGAGAGAGCCCCCCCCCCCATGTCCCTCCCAAATGTTGGCACATAGACTCAGGATATGTCGACCGAACCTCACGTGGGGAAAAGGTAGGCTTCGCATCTGTCTGCTTGGACGTTCAACCAGCTTAGAAGTGCTTCGCCCAGGATAGAACTGGCTAACTTCACCTGGTGCACCACTTGGCCGACCCAGGTCCTAAAAACATCCCATTGATCCACAAGTCGGGTGATAAATTTCCAGGTAGTCTGACGGATTTGCATATTTAAATTCCGCGCATCCGAAAAGAACCTCCGGCCATCCTCCATTTGCGGATACGTCAACGGGGAAACCTGCGAAAAACATAGCCTTGTTGGCCAGGTGGGGTTCCCAAACAAATGATCTTTAAGCACCTAATTACCATACTCATGGAAGTTTCCCCTACTCCTGGAAACTCTCCGGCTGGAACACGACTTGAGAGCAAAAAAGGGGACAGTGGAAAGAGAAACCCAACCGCACGGCCCGAGATCTCAATCACGACGATGGGAGATCCGAAATTGGCCCAAAAGGTAATGCTTACAAGTAACCCACAAGGTGATGCTTGTCGCCACCCTTTAATTAAAAAGGAAATGGACACCCACCCGAACACGTAGGGTAAGGACAACTGTGCTGTTAAGTGCTTTCAAGGCCATGCGTGAAGTTAATGAGTCCAAGGCCTTCAGTCCTCCTTGGGCCATCGCCCTTGAAATGAGAACGCTAGCTGCAAAGCCTGCCTTTGGGGATGAATGGTTTCGGGCACGCCGAAATTAAAACAAAGCGCAAACAACCAGGGGACCCAGGTATCACAACTGCCCATCGCCCACTAAGCATGATCTATCTCACAAAGTTGCGTTAAATCTCCACCCCTGGACTTTCTAGGTGGGGTGATAGGATCTCCACTTGGCTACAGGCAAAGGATCTCTCTTTCTGCCATCCGAGAAGCCGCGATGTTGTTGTAGGCCTGCGCGCAAGCGCGCAAAGGCGGTTCAGTTTGATTTCTGCGACACCCTTCCATCAGCAACGTGTTGGAGGGAGCAACAAGGGGCCTCGTCGCAACATGCGACGTGTCGTCGCATGCTCATTGCCTGGGGGTTGAGGCGGCAACAGAGCCCCTGACGTCCTGACCGATAGCCTGTGACTTGTTCTCGGGGATCCGTCCCACACGGGTTTCGCATGCGATGCCAAGTCCGGACGCGCGGGCTTGGCCAAGTCCGAAGCTACGTGGATGGGGAAGAAATTCCGGGTGCCACTCGAATCGCCGAAGGAAACTCCTAGAAACAAGTGCCCTCTCAATATGTTGCCATGTTGAAAGTCGATCTGTGGGTTCCAACCGCCGAAGACACCAAACAAACCTGGAAAAACTTCACTTCGTGACTGGACTGGCCCAACAAAAATGCCACAAACTCCTTGCTTTTACCACAACCAGTGATCCCCCCAAAAAAAGGGACCAAGGCCAGGAACTCAGGCAGGATATAAACCTCAGTGGCCATGGGAAAAAAAGGGTACCCTTTTTTGTTGCTATTAGAGTTTAAAGGGGAAACCTTTCCCCACAAAAAGGAAAAAGGGCACCACTGGGCAACATTCCCAGGGTGTAAGTAATACCCTTTACTCAGTTGTTCAGTGACCCTGGAGAAAAAAGGAACCCTTTTTGGGGAAGACCATTTTTAGTGGGGCAGTCACCCAAAAAGAAGGGAAGAAAGGTGCCACTGAACAACTGAGGGATATAAACATTTGACCTGCTTCCGGTTTCGAGTTGCAGCTTTGCCGAGACGGCAAACTGGAGCCGTCAGCGCAAAAACCGGCGCCTGGCAAATCTCCTTGTTTTGATCCAGGGACAAGTGGTAGTACTTCACAGCCTGCCGCGAAGAAAACAAAAAACTCATCTCCTCCTCCATTTGCTTTTGCACCCCCTGGAAAAAATGTCCAGTAGTGATAGGTTCCCTTTAAAACCAACAGGGGAAAAGAAAACATATTCTTAACCAAATGGAAGTCCCGTGCGGATCGGCCAAGAGAAATCCACACTGTTGGCTTACCACTCAATTCATCTTCCCGCAAAGTGACGGGGCAATGAGGGGCAATGAAAGGAAACATTAGATGAACATGGCCATGGGTGTGGCTTTTCCATTTTGGTTTCCTTTTGGCTTCCCTTTACACCAGCGCCAAAAAGGGTACTGTACTCTGAAGAAAAAACACCTCACGTGCCTGTAAGATAATGGCGTATTGTCTTGGTTGCTGGCGAGACCCCCCCACAAAAAGTTCTTCACTTTTGGGGGGTTCAGTGGAAAACACAACTTGATTTCAACCAAAAAGTTAAAGTCTAAAGATCCGTTGCCCAATAGCAGTCAAGTATTGTGCCCACTCTTGGTTGACCTATTTATTCAGCTTAATTTGCTTCTACACTATTTGTTTGTGTAGCATTTATTCTTGCATTTGCTTGGCCATCTATTGATTCATGAGCTACTCATGGAAGTCACCAAAACGTACCTCGAGAATCGGCCCACGCTCAGCTTCCATGCCCGCATTCGACATGGCCGACCAGCGAAGTGACAAGCCGCACGCATGTGTTATGGGGGCTGGAGGGGAGGGAGGGGGAGGGAGCCCAAGTACCCCCCAAATAAGGCCTTAATACGGGCTCAACGAGGGTTTTGTTGGGCTCCCTCCCCCTCCCCTCCCTCCCCCCCTGCCCCATAAATGTACGCGGCGCTGGAAATAAAGATAAGCTGAAAAGTGATTGATTCCATGAATAAATCAATCAACCGAACCAAATAGCTCATGAATCAATGGATGGCCAAGCAAATGCAACAATCAATGCTACACTGATGCCATGAAGTGACATGACACGACATGAACTAGGTTGTCAAAATTAGCTGCCTTTTCTAGTAGACCCTTCAAAAGGCGGCACAGGTCCAAAAAGGGGCCACATGTTCGAGAAAAACCTAAACAAACCAACCAACATTACATGAAATGACATGGAATGACGTGAATGAATAACACCGACAAGACGTGCATCATAGATATTCATAGCCCATAGCTTGTGCGCACGTAGCGGCAAGAGAACTGTCTGCTGCATTTGGGGTACATGTTCTTCCGCGCCTTGACATACTCTCCGTTGGAGCCAAAAATGATGCCCAGGTTGTAAAAGATGTAGCTCCTGTCAATCCTCAGCGCTGCGGCGGCTCTTTCTGGGGCTGGTCGCTGGCAGGAAGCCTCGTAGGCTTGCAACAGGCAAGACTGGGGAAATCCAACCAATTTTGCAGGCAAAGACTTCAGTGACTTAGGCATACCAATAGGTGTCACTGCATTTCCCCAAAAGTTCATCTAGGTCCTCCAGTAGAGAGGTTAGAATAAGGGTACCATTTGTTTTTTAGCTTTCTGTAGTCTATTTTAGTAGGGGAACCCTCAACCCTCCCCCAAAAAAGGCTAAAAGGGCACTGGGCCATTTGCTCGGCTTGGTGAGTTCTTGGATGCCAATGGGTAAGAGGTTTGGATCGAGGTCATTTAGCCAACCTTTCAACATACAAGTGTAGTCTAAACGGCTCAACAAATGCACACATGAGTAGCCTAAGTTGATGACTTACCTTTACTTGGCTTTTATGGACCTCTTTGTACCTCAGGCCCTTCAGCCCTGAGCACTGGATCTTGTGACGATGAGACCCGGTTACACATTGCTCCCCGTTCGGGTTTCCAAGGAAATGGATGACCGGACCCCCAAAAATCCAGAAATCGATGGCAATTCCCAAACCTGAAGCAAGAGATGGGTCTGGCGGTTTTTTTATGGCTTTAACAGGGAACCAAGAGGAAAACCGAAGCCATTTTGGGGAGGGTCAACGTGACGAGCTCTGGAACCCCCCCCCAACAACAACAAAAAACAAAAAAAACGATGAGCTGAACCCTAAGAGATGCAAATTGATTGATTCGTGGACTCCCCGCTCCCTACACATGAATTCGGGCTTGGGGGATGCTCGGCAAGGGCGATTTCTTCCGGAAACTTCGAGGTGCTCCAGGTGCCTGAGGCCCGCTATGAATGCCACCCCCCATAGGCCAAAACCAGGGGGTACCTGCTGGGTTTGATGGTTGCGAAAATCCGCGAGCCCCGCTTCTCGCACCGTTCAGCGACCCTGGAATGATTCGACTCCCCAACGTAGATACCAACCAGCAATGGCTTCAACCATGGTTTCCAGGTGCAGCGAATGGCAACCAACAAATAAGTTGCAAAGACCAGCGAAGATTTATGCGAAACCCCCCCCCCCGAAGGGTTGCGTAATCCTTTCGCTTTCCCTTTAACCACCCCACCCCTTTGCGGGTTCCGAAGGCTTAGTTGCCCAAAATACCCAGGAACAAACTCTTCACATAGGTTTAGCTTTCGGGACCATGACAAGACATGCAGCAGAGGGGGAAAAACAACAAGGGCAAGAGGTTGATCCGCTTTGGGCAAGTGAGTCAAAAAAGCACCCCCATACCTCCGTTTGCTGAAGCCCCTGAAAAGAAAGCACACACATTTCCAGAAGTGATGAGGCAAAGTGGAAGGGACGAAATCTTGCACCACCTAAGAAGCCCTGGAACATGTTTCCACTCCCAGGGCAAAATTTGACCCACAGCCATACAGTGGATGGTTGAAACCATTGGTGGTTGGTATTGACGTAGGGGAAATCGAATCAGAAACCCAGGTTTCTGAACGGTGGTGCCAGAAGCGGATATCGCAACCACCCACAGTAACAGTATGGCCGCTGGTCAAAGTAAGTGGAAACGTGGACTGCAACTTGCGGTCCCCTGCTAGTTTTATTTTGTTATTTTGACCCAGCCATATAAAACGGGCCGGGATGTATGTGAAACCAGGGGTCCCTCAATTCCATCAAGAGGTCACCCTCCCCCAATTCCATGTTTGGGTAGGATTTCTTAAGCAAACGACACCGATTTAGGGTTCCACTAACTAGCCCAATAGGGTTCCTAGAATTTCCCAGGTTCTGTAGCCTTAGGGGACCCCCGAAAGATGGACGGATTCTTGTCATCCAAGGCTCGGGTCCTCCTCCAGCTTCAGCGCCTCCGCGTAGGACCGCAAGGCCGCGGAGTAGTCGCCGGCCACCTGGGCCTGCATGCCGTCGCCTGAGTTGAAACGGGGGGCGGGGGGAGGGAGGGGGGCTGGGTGTGGTAGGGGGCCCTGTAAACCAAACCCCCGCTTAGGGTACTATATACCAAAAAAGTTGACAGACCCCTCTTGAAGCCGAAAAAGGGCACCAGCACAACCAAACCAGACAGATCTCGGTTGTTTTCTGCTCCCCTACTAAAATTATAACTTTTAGTGGTTGAATGGAAAACCCATTAGTTGGCAATAAGTTAAAGTCCTAACATCCCTTGGCCACATGCAACAAAGAGATTCTCATTCCCTTTCAAGCCGATTCCCGGCCCTCCGGGCCAAGCGGCGGTAGAATTGGTAGGCGTCCTTCTCCTGCTGGGCCAAGGGCATGGTGGCCACCACCAGGTCCGTCCTCAGAAAAAGGAGAAGCACCCGAGATAGAATCCTGGCAACCGGCTAGGGCTACCACCCCAAGCCCCCCCCCAACCCCCGCCTCTAGAGGGCTGCTGCTTTCTAGCCCTTTTTTTTTCAGATTTCCCCAACGGAATCTCGAGTGGTGTTTGTCAGTGGACCGGGGAGGCCATCCCCCTACGGTGAAATGTCACCCCCTTCTCTGGGGAAATCCTGCCACCAAGGAATCCCTTGTAAACCCTCAGAAAGCCAACATGTCCACCAGGGATTCTCCAAAGACCTTCTTCCATTTGCTTTGCCGACCAAACAAGAAACATGTCCTCTTGGGTGCTGTAGATGCCCCAGCAAAAGGTTAAACTTTGTGCTGGTTAAAATGGAAATATGAGGGGAATCCAAAAAGTTAAAGTCTAAAGATCCAACCCAATAGCAGTAGAGGAATCAAACATGAAGAACATCTAACATTGATTCAATGAAACCTTCGAAACACGCTTGTCAATTTCACGAGCTTAAGTTTGTCAGTGTTTATGTTGAAATCAAATAGTTGTAAAACAACCCTCCCAGATATGCCAGTGGTGGTGAATGATCTAGCGTCGTGAGGGCTACCTCAGCCCACCAAAACCAAAACGGATCTTGGATTCTGGTCATAGGCCATGGACCCGTCTTCTTTCGAGGGGACCTTTGGGTTGGCTTAGAGGGACATCAATTGAAACAAACCTGGGGTACAACTATGCAATACTGTGGATGGACGAAATCCATTTCGCACCACTTTGAAACCATGGGAAACCATTGTTTGCTGGTATTTACAGGGGGACCATCATTCCAGGGTGTCTTAGGTGGTGCAGGATTTTGTCCAGCACCAGTATAATGGTTTCTCAGAATGGTGGTCCGCTTATGGGTGGTTTCCTTTTGATTCCCCTTTGAATAACCCAGAGGGGTACGCAATATTGAGAATAGGGGGCCCAAAATGGCGGGAGTTGAACGGGTCTCGGTTTGATCATCCGCTTTCTAGTTTGGGTGGGACACTGGGTCAAAAAAACGGGGGGGGCACCTTTCAAGGGACTTTGGAGCTATGGAGGTATGTACCGCTCATACGAGCGGCATATTCTCCAAAACCCATGCAGACAAATGATGCTTGAACCTTAAACGCGCCGTCGGGGGACCTGTACATAGGGCATGTTTCTGGGAGATTGTCAGCTTGGGTTGCCACCATCGGTGATACCGCTTGAAAGGACCTCTTGAAAGTACTTTGGCGTGAGGAACAAACACTTTGGTATCGAAGAAAATTCCAGCATGTCTTGACACCAACGGTGCCCAACAAGGCTTCAAACAAACAAACAAACTCTTGCTGGTTGCCAAACAACCATGATAGACGGAAGGGCAATACGTGGCTGCAGATTGAAGCCGCCCATCCAGCCAAAAACGTAGCAAGCAACGCAACAATGTAGACAGTAACTTGGACGGAAGGACCCTTGATGGGTGTTGGGATAGCTTCTGTTTGTCCTTGCTCAGAAGGGAATGTGGGAATGAACCCCTTGAAGGCACAAGGGATTGTTATTTTGGGCATTCCCTCATTCCCTGCTGACACACCCACCTCTAGACTTCTGACTCTGAAGCCCAACCTTGCTTGAGCAGTTCAGGCGCATGATGGTGAACGCCTTGTCGATAAAGTTGTCGCCTGGGCGAACTGCCGCGGTTTGTATCTGTCATGAGGAGCTTCGAAATCGAGGCATGGAGTTTCCTGGGTCAACTAAAGTGGCACGCTCGAAATGATAACCCTCTAAATGGTGGTGAAGCGAACCCCCTCCAAAAAAAACAACAACAAAAGAGGAGAACCCCTCAAACTGTCAATTTCACTGGGCCAACCCTGTAAATAGTGGTGAAGGGAACCCCCCCTCAAAAAAAAAGAAAGAGAACCCCTCAAACTGCTAATTTTACTGGGCCAAGCATAGGTGGCCTTCTAGAAAAATAGATGGCCCTGGGCAATGGAACAAACCCCATCTAAACCAGTGGAACCCATTCATTTGTCATCAAACTAACTTAAAACGGGCACCTATGGGGCCAAGGTTTATACCTTTCTTTCGTGATCCGCAGCAGTCGTCAATGGCGCGACCTGCAAATCCGCCGTTGCGGGTTAAGCCAGCCACAAAAACTTTGCATGGGTTGCCAATTGCCCAACTTTTTCGGGGCTTCACCATGACTTCCTCAGATGTCCTGATTCTGGTACACGTCAGAGCTTCAAGTTTACCCAGCACCAACCTGTCCAAACCAAAAAAATCCGGTGGATGTTCTAAGTACTGTAAACCCACCACACCCACTCACAAAACCTTCCCCAGACCAAAATCCTTCGCCCCCCGCGCACCCCCCCCAAGAAAAGAAACCACATCAAGCGAGGAACTCTTGTCCTGCACACGGGTGGCCTGCATCTGCCTCGGATGGCACAGGTGCGGTGGATGGCCCCAAGTAGTTGGTTTGCTTGCAATATGGGTACGGGTCAAACAGGGATCCTTTCAAGAAAACACCTGAGCATTGCCTTGTAAACAGGGCTGTGGGAAATGACCACTTCTGTGATAGGCCTTCCCAAAGACTAACTCCCCATATAAAGGTGGAGATTCCCTTGTATCACAGAAGTGGGGAAAAACCCCTTGATCCCACAACCCTGCTTGTAAATGGTGGTGTCCCTTTATTTTGGTGGAAAAAGCCATGTTTCAACTGGGCAAAATGTATCTTCTAAGGAGCCCTGTCAACATTAAACCACCGGAAAACCACAGGTTTTAGCCCTTGGCAACCCATTTACCAGGGCAAGCCATTTTGGGTACCTATTTTTGACCCACAGCAATATGGGCTCCGGGGCATCCACCGTATGATGGATTCCCTGCTCCGCACTTACCAGAAAGGAAATATAAGGGGAATCCAAAAAGTAAAAGTCTAAAGATCCAACCCAACAGCAGTAGAGTCCTAGTAGTGAAATCGATTCCCTTTCAAACAACCAACGGTGAACATAACATATGTCCACCTCAGCAAGTGGAAGCCTTTGCAGAAAGTTAGCCTCGGACTGAGGATCCGAAACTGTATCATGCCCAGTTTTCCTTTTGTGAGCACCAACAGAAAACTGAAATAGTCTTCCACAAGTATAATAGCCCAGTTGTTGCTGTTGAACGCTCCCCCCCTAAAGTGTATAAAACCCTGTGCGCTAGCGGAAAACGTCTTAATTTCCCCAAAAGGTTAAAGTCTAAAGATCCAACCGAATAGCAGTCAAGAAAGAGACACAATACCTCTTTTCCACACGGCTAAGGGGATCAATCAGCGCCACATGCTGTTCGAAAAAGAATTCCTCCGGGGCCACAATAACATAACAGTGCGGTTCGAAACAGAAGAATAACTAGGTCCTCCAGTAGAGAGATTAGAATAAGGGTGCCGTTTTTCTATTATAGTTAAAACATAAGCTCAGGAGATATCCCCAACAGCATGCATGCGGTGCTCTGTCTTTTAGTGCTCGCACCACCCCGCAGCCCTCGCAGAACCTCGTGGAACCCTGGTGGAACCCTGGTGGAACCCTGGTGGAACCCTGGTGGAACCTTGCCTAGGGCCGCCCCGGACCACCCCGGAGCCTATCTGGGCTCAGACCCCAAAGCTTTCAGCTGTTTGGGGAGAGAAAAAAAAAACACCTCCAAAAAAAGGGTCAAAGGGCACTACTGGGGGACCTAGACAACAAGAAGTCTCAACGCGGCTGTGGCACACCCGCGGGGCGGGCTTGGAGGCGCCGCCATGGGCCACGAAACTCAGTGCTGCAGACAGGCTGGACACACCTCGGGTGAACTGATGGCCGAGTAGGAAACAACATGTGACTCGCTTCCCCAAATCCAAGACATCTGGCCATGGGTCAAAAACCCGGTTACCCCATTTGTTTAAGTCCCCTGGAAACAAATGTCAGTGATAGATTCCTTTTAAAACCAACAGGGGAAAATAACAAATATTCTTAACCAAATGGAAGAATATGAAACAACATCTGACCCACTTCCCCAAATCCAAGACATCTGGTGATTTGTCGGAGGGCCAAGTCTTCGGTTCTTCAACCAATTTTTGTCTGCTCTATCCAGGTGATTCCAGGTGGCTCCTGCATTCCACCAGGAGGCCCCTGGCTAACTGGTGGATGGGCGCGAAATTCGCTTCTCGCGACAAATGGCAACCATAGGACCCCCCCTCTTCCCCTTGGATTAGGTGAAACGAATCGCCCAAGCCCCGAGAACGGAGCAGGAGCCTGGCCATAAGATCTAAAGGCAACCCATGAATAAAAACAGGTGATATGTCCTTTCCTTGGTTAGTTCTACAGGCAACGCCCCCACCCCAAAGAACACAAACAACCAACCAAACCAACAAACCAACCAACAAACAGGCGGGTGCTACTGTGGGCGAACTCCATTGTCGCACCACGTTGAATCCGAATCCGTGGGCACCGAATCATGGGATCCCATTTTGGCGCTAGGTGACTGCAGCACCCATTTTAGAACCTATTTTAGTGGTTGCATTGAATCGGATGTTTACTGGGGGCCAGCCGGTTCGGGTATTGACCCATGGCCAATTCAGCAAATGGAAGACCTACTTCCAAGGTTTCTTCAACAGGGATCCTTAGTGAATACACCTAAACATGACCAAAAGTAAATGGTGGTGTCCAGCTTTATTTTGGTGTTGAAAAAGCCATCCATGTTTCAACTGGTGGCAAAATGGATCCATCTCTTTGAAGGAGCCCTGCCAAAACATTTCGCCACCATCATCCCCAGCTGCAGGCTTGGAACTTCGGGAGAAGCTCCCAGGGTCCCAGGGCTTCTGGATTCCAAAGCTTGCTTCTTCCATTGGCTTCTTAGGTTCCTGGGGAAAATGAGAGAAACACTATGCTGCAGCAGTGAAATGCTTTCCTGAGTGAAAACCAGGGTTTTTTTGAGCAAAACAGGCAAAACAAATCAGCAGATGGACGTGTTCGTATATGTTTCGGGCACCGGCCGCGATTTATTGATTTATTGTTCCGAGCCCGGCACCCAGGGCCACAATCACCAGGCCCACCACACGGCGCAGCGAAAAGTCGGCCATGGCCTAAGTGCTGCGCAGGGCGAAGCAAACACGAGACCCGTTTGCCCGTGGTAAAACGTTTTTGTTTGTAGCAAAACAACTTGAGGATTCTCGCAGCACCCTACGAAATGAACAGAACCAAACAACCTACAAACCTAAATTCATGCTTGTTTGCCTGTCCATTTTGGTAGTAAACAACTTGTTGTTTTGTGCAGCCCCCCTATATGCTAAAAATAATTTTGGAAGAAAGACCTAAAACAACTACACACATCAGCCAACAACGTGAAGTTGCCGTGTAAAAAACATGTTTGGTTTCCACCAGGCCAACAAGTATATCTTTTGTGGAGGGTGCCCCTTTTGTGGTCACGATTTGAGGGGTCCCCGATTTTGACACATACCCATATGATCATTTTGTTCAGGGTGCTAATGCTCAGGTCGACAATCTAAGCACCCTGGTGCTCAAAAATCAGAAGGGGCCCTCTGGTGTCAAAACCCTTGGGCTCTTTTGAGGCCTCGTGGTCTTGAAAGCTGGCATTCTTTGGCTTTGAATTTCCAAGCCCATAGTGCCCTGCCTTTGGCCCCCTGAAGGGAGCCCATCTCATTGTCCGAGTGGATGGGCCCACAAAGGTACAAATTGTTTATTCATCAGAACCTCCATTTGCTTAAGCCCATGGACAAAATAAACAGATATACTTCGAATAGTGATAGATTCCCTTTCAAACCAACAGGATTAAACCACAAAAACTATTCTTGTTCAAGTGGAAGAGGAAACTCGGCTTCCCAAAAAGTCCATCAACTCAAGAAGGCCATCAGTCCATCAGACCTCAGAGAAGCTCCGATGTCCGATTTCCACCGCAACCACTGGCGCCTTGCCAGGAGCGCCTCTTGGGACTTTACTTGGGCCCGAAGTCTGCAGAGATGCGTCGATCGCATCTTCCAATTCGATGCCCAGAGGCTCCAATTCGATGGATGGGCCTGCAAGGAACCTGGGTTTGAGACCAACCACCTCCGGGGTGTCTAATTCGTGGGGGGGTCGGGTTTTTTGCATTCAAAGCCCCAGGAGCCTCTGGGTAATGCCGACCCCCGGACTAATAAACCCCTGCTTATATGGGGGTGGTCCACTCCAAAAGTGATACAAATCCCCACTAAAACCAGAATCGGACACCCCCACCTATCAATAAAACCAGGAGTTTATTAATCTGGGGTCAACATTAACTCCACAAGCTGAACCAAGAATTGGATCCCAAAGCAAAGAACCTGTCCAATGCTGTTGTACCCGAATCAGTGCGCTCGCAAAAGGCAGAAATGACTGGCTGGTGCATCGAAACCTCCCGTTACGTATTAAATAGGTACCCGCTCATTTGTTCGCCCCCTAACAAACAAAAAAACTGATACCACATATGCCTTGTTGCCTTGCTGGTTGCATTGAAACGCAACCCAAAGGAAGTTACTAAGGAGCCCCTCGGTGGAATAGCAACAAACCGCGCATGCAACTCCCAAAGCTCCTGACTAGATGGATGAAATCCATTTCGCACCACCGTTCAGAACCGTTCAGAAGAACATGCTTTGATTCGGCTCCCCAACGTAAATACCAAGCAGCCAATGGTTTCAATGGTGCAGGATTTCGGCCATCCACGGTATCTGGCAGGTGACATAGGCAGAGCTCGCAACAAACAGCGCAGACCGGCGGTTTCGCTTGGGCCATGCGATGGATGCGCCCCATCGCCTTCTGGTACTGACGGATAACGTCCAAGGCTTGCCTGAGGCTCCATCCAAAACCCCCGTGAGCCGTGCGAGAAAAAAGAAAAAAACAAACTGGTCAGGTAGCCCTTCGTTGGAGGTTCGGATTTGGCTGCGGCTCAAACAAGTGGTACCAAAATGGCACCTGGGTAAATGGAACCAAAGACTAAAACCTGCGTAACCGCAGCTCTTTAATTTTGAGCCACACCCATTTGGACAACCCCTGGCCTTAGTTCGCATGGGAAACTTTTCCCGGAAGCCACCACCAACCCAGCCTTCTCCAAGCCACCGAGCTTGGTGGGGTGGCTTCCACAAGTCCCCCTTAAACACAAAAAAAAAAAAACCAGCAGTTGGCTCGGTCGGTTTGTAGGGGTCTCCCCCCAAGATTGCTGGGTCTCCTTCTGGTTTCCCGTTGGCTCCCGAAAAGTCGGTACCCTCGCAAAAAAGAAGAAGAAGAGATACACGACAGTGTTGAGGATGTCGTTTGAATCGACCCAGTATGTTGCTAGAAACATATGAATATCATCCAGCCTTTGTGTGGGACCGGCCCCTTGGATTTTGTTCACAGGATTGAGCCATGACACTTCCCTGCCAATGTTGAACCCGGATTAATGAACCCCAGTTGATTACTAGAGGGTGTCCCCTTTTCGCGGGGGTTCAGTTTTGGTATCTATTTATGGGGGGGCATCGCTCATATCGACCGTGCTCGAAGATGAAATGCCCAGGGCAAGGGGGCCATAGAAAACGCTCCCGAGTACTGGGTGTGAATTTTGATCGGGGGCCCTTTGGTGGACATCTCAATTCGGCGGGGATTCATGTCCACCAACCACTTGTGAGGTGGTTCCCTTATTTGAGTGTGGCCCACAATAACGGGACGTTTTTTTTTCATGTGTTTCCTTTTCTTCCCCCTTAAAACCACCCCAAAAAGGAAACCATCAAACAGACGCCCATGTAGCTTCATTGCCAAATGGGAGTGTCTTTTTTGGAGGGGGGTGGGAGTCCCCAATGCCATTTATCCGGTGTTCCCTCATAAAACGGAACCATAAGCGGAGATCGCCAAGTTACCCCCTCCCAATCAAACATTTGTTAGGGACTAGGGGTCACTGAATAACGCATGCAATGCTGCGTGCTACTGTCTTGTCGCCTTCCTCGTGCAATAGCTGTGCGCTCGCACAAAAAAAAGAAAGAAGAAGGCCTCCAAAAGTGATGATTCCCCACATTTCACCCAGGGGTACCCACCCCCGCTATGAAAATAACTGGTTGCTTGATGAATATGAGGTCAACATTAGGTGACCTCGTTTGCCACGAAAATGTCCATTCGAAACGGAATTTCTTTTCGAACACATGCACAAGTTACCCCCTCCATCAACCCATGTTACCCTAGGGATCACTTATAAAATGTTGACTCCGGATTAATAAACCCCAGTGTATTAATATGGGGATGTTCCCCTCCAAAGGGATAAATCCCCACTAAAACCACGGACACCCCCCCCTATCACAAAAAAACCAGGGGTTTATTACTCTCTCATCAACCCATGTAAGACCCTAGGGCTCACTTAATCATTTCACCCACATTTCACCCACATGTCACCCAACAATTCACCCAACATTTCACCCAACAATACCCACCCGCCCCTGAAAGAAACCGGTTGGACTCAACTTGGACTCTCCGCTGACCCGCCGGACGCCTCTGGAGCTGCTCCAGCTCGCTGCGCTGGCGCTTGTCCGCGGTGAGGCGCTGCCGCTTCACGAACTGGCCTCAAGGAGTCTCGGAGAAAAGCGGAAGGAGTCTAGGTCCCCCAGCTAGGTGTCAACTCTTACCGTTTCCTTTTTGGGGGAGGGTTCCCCTACTAAAATAGACCACAGAAAAAAGGGTACCCTTACTCTAACCTCTCTACTGGAGGACCTAGGAATGGGCCCAAGAACCAGGGCTCAAGGAGCGGCGTCTCGGAGACAGGCGGCAACTGAGCCACTCCCCAACTCATCCCCTCGCGCTGTGCCGTGCTGGAAAATTGCCGAAAGTCATCAATTTTTGGCGGTTTCCAAAAGTGATGGTCATCTTTAAAGGACCTTTGGAAAAGGGTGTTTATACTGATAGGGTGCTTCTTCATTCCATGGACAACTCAAAACCGTGCTTCCCAACCTTCAACCAAGCGCTCGGATTCAACGCCCCGTTTTTTACATTACATCTAACCAGGGGAAGCATGGCTGGGTGAGCAACTTCCTTCTGCCGCGGTCCCGGGCTGCTCTGACCCGCAGCTTGCTCTGCCGACTTGCACTTCGCAAACCTCGGATGCCCCCTCCCGGTGGAGGTCGCGAGGTCCGCTCAAGTAAGCCGACCAGGTGGATGGACCAAACCCTGCACTCGGATGCGGGAAACCGGTGGTATTTACCGGGGGATCAACTCATTCCAGGGTTCTGTAGGTGCAGGATTGCGCCCATGGACAGTATGAAAAAAACCACAACATGGCACACATTAGAGCAGGGCTGTGGGGAATGACCACTTCTGTGATACAACAGAAAGGGCTTCCAAGGACTACTTTGTTCATATAAAGGGGGATTTCCAAAAGTATCACAGAAGTGGTTGGAGAAACCCCTTGATCCCACAACCCTGCATTAGAGGGTTGCCTTGTTCCTTCACTTGCAATACTTACCATGGGTTTAGCTGCGATGCTTCAAGGGAAGTTTCTCCGGTTCATGAGGTGGACCGCTTTGGGAGACCACCCAATTTGCTAACCATGTACCCCCGTAGCATACGTACATATACATGGGTGGCCCTGTGGAAAAATGGATGGCCCTGGCGAATGGAACAAAACAGATCTAAACCAGTGCCATCTATTTCTAACCAGGCTCACCTAAAAAGGACACCTATGACTGTATACTGTAAATGCATTTCAGTACATCTTTTGTGTACGTTCCTGCTGCTAGGCTGGAAATAGGACCCAAGCAAAAAAAAACATGTTTTGCCTCCCAAAAAAGCAAAACAACAAAAAGGGGATCTGATTCTGGGGAAGACTGGAGGTCTACATGCATTGTGTTGCCATTTTGCGAGCCAAGGGCAATCAATTTTGTGATATGCCGTGTCACTCGCCGAGAAACATGTATTGGAAGAGGATGCCCCCTTGATGGATCGAATCGCGAAACATCGCAAAGAAGGGCTCCTTCCACCTCCTTCCCCACGCCGACCCGTGTTTTCCAGAGAAAGCCACCCCCTCAAGCCCCGGACGTTGACCGTTGAGCTGGAAATCCCGACACAGACCTCCCTGGTTCTCCGGGGCAATCACCGACTCCACTACGTCTCCACCCCTTCACTTTTGTGGGAACATCCCTGCATCAATTCGACAAGTTTGGATTTGATCCACTGAGGTAAACATTAACTAGGGTCCCCCCCCCCGCTTGCCCAAACTTATGAGGCTTCATACATTCCCTTGACACCCGGTTCGTCAACATAACCTACTCAATGGGGGCAAGAGAGGGCTGCTGATGGATTCCTCTCCACCAGGCATTGCACACTCAACTGGAAACCAGATTGCTCACATTGAGCCGCTATGGAATGTTCAATGGCTTCAGGGTTTAACAGGGGCCACAGGGTTCCCCCAAATCAAAAGTCAATCAACTTACTGGTGGGTTCCCTTGAAACTGACACTTTCAGAGCTTCCAAAACGGGAAATGGCCCGGAACCCCTGACCCTAAGGCCCTTTGTCTTTTCAGCCAGTTTGGCACAATGCTGATATGGGGGTTGGTCCAGAGGTCCGACGAACATGGGGTGACCATTGGGGAAACTACCAAAAAAGATATATTTGATATTTCACCACCTGCGAGGAAAGTTAGTTATTGTCATTTCAGGGCCGAAGAAGGGAATATTGACTAGGTCCTCTAGCAGGTTAGAATAGAATAAGGTGGTTTTCTGTTTCGCGGAATTGTTTTCCAGTGTTTTGGGTATTTTTTCCAGTTTCTTTTTCTAGACACTTGCACTGCAGATCTTCTCCGCCTTCTTATGGATCACCCCAGATCACAACAGCCCCAGATTCAAGAATGGCAGCAAATTCACCGCCGCTTGATTGGATGCACTTGACGCTTTTCAGCTGCTCCTGCACCTGGCTGCTGTCTCTGCCCCAGTCTGCCCAACCCCAGGTCACAACAGCCCCAGATTCAAGAATGGCAGCAAAAAGCACCACCGGTAGTTGCTTAGATGCGCTTGAGGTTCTTCAGCTTCTGGATCGCCCCACGTGACAACATCCCCAGATTCAAGAATGGCCGCAAAAGCACTGAAGTTGCTTGGATGCGCTTGACGTTCTGGAGCTGCTCTTGCACCTGGCTGCTGTCTCCGCCATCTTCTGGAACGCCCCAGGTGACAACAGCCCCAGACTCAAGAATGACAGCAAACGCACACTCAGCTGCTTGGATGCACTGGACGTCTCTCAGCTGCTCTTGCACCCAGCTGCTGTCTCCGTCTTCTTCTGGATCACCCCAGGTCACAACAGCCCCAGACGCAAGAATGACAGCAAAAGCACGCTCAGCTGTGTGTGCTGGACATTCCTCAGCTTCTCTTGCACTTTGCAGCTGTCTCCTCCCATGTCTGAACGACCCCAGATCACAACCTCGCCTCCGTGGACGTGCCAAACGAATGCCTTGTAGGTGGCTGCCAATGTGCCCGCTGCGCAACCGCGTCCACCACATCCCCATCTCGCAACCCGGCGTCACTCCGCGCGGCTGTCAAGTCGAGCAAGTTGGTCTGTGCAAGTTGCTCTGCGCCAGTTGCTCCGTGCAAGCGCTTTGCGCATGTGCTCTGTGCAAGTTGGTCTGTGCAAGTTGCTCTGCGCAAGTGCTTTGTGCAATTGCTCTGTGCAAGTTGCTCTGCGCAAGTGACTTTGCGCAAGTTGCTCTGCGCAAGTGCTGCCGGAGCTGTGGGAATGTACTTCGCATACTATGTTTGTACTTAAAAGTTGCGATTTTCCAGCCGGAGCTGCGGGGGTGTGCTCCGCGTACTACGTTTGTACTTAAAAGTTGCGCGGGAGCACGCTCCGCATACTACGTCTGTACTTAAAAGTTGCGATTTTCCAGCCGGAGCTGCAGGAGTACGGTCCGCGTACTACGTTGCGATTTTCAAGCCGGAGCTGCGGGGGTGTGCTCCGCGTACTACGTTTGTACTTAAAAGTTGCGATTTTCCAGCCTGAGCTGCGGGAGCACGCTCCGCATACTACGTCTGTACTTAAAAGTTGCGATTTTCCAGCCGGAGCTGCAGGAGCACGCTCCGCGTACTACGTTTGTACTTAAAAGCTGCGATTTTCAAGCCGGAGCTGCCGCGGACCAGGGGGGAATCGAACCCGCGACCGCGGGATTGCGAAAGCAGGCGCGCAAACCACGAGACAACTTCCAAAGGCCGTTTCGCGAGCACGGCGCCACAGCGAGAGCGCTGCGACGCGCACAATCTCCGCAGAGGGTTCGGCGCCACAGCGAGAGCGCTTCGACGCGCCTCGACCACGCGAATCTCCGCAGAGGGTCGCGCGCGCATGCTAAAAATCGTAAAAAGTCCACAGTTTTTTAACCTCGACCACGCGAATCTCCGCAGAGGGTCGCGCGCGCATGCTAAAAATCGTAAAAAGTCTCAGTTGTTTAACCTCGACCACGCGAATCTCCGCAGAGGGTCGCAATCCCGAGCGACGATCAAACTCCCGCCCCGGCGCCTTAGAAACCTAAACTAACTTACATAGCTGCTAACGCCGAAGCTCTACGCAAGCTCTACCTAACCTTGGCTCTGTGCCACCTGGCTCTGTGTCACTTGGCTCTGTGCCACTTGGCTCTATGTAACTTGGCTCTATGTAACTTGGCTCTATGTAACTTGGCTCTATGTAACTTGGCTCTATGTAACTTGGCTCTATGTAACTTGGCTCTATGTAACTTGGCTCTATGTAACTTGGCTCTATGTAACTTGGCTCTATGTAACTTGGCTCTATGTAACTTGGCTCTATGTAACTTGGCTCTATGTAACTTGGCTCTATGTAACTTGGCTCTATGTAACTTGGCTCTATGTAACTTGGCTCTATGTAACTTGGCTCTATGTAACTTGGCTCTATGTAACTTGGCTCTATGTAACTTGGCTCTATGTAACTTGGCTCTATGTAACTTGGCTCTATGTAACTTGGCTCTATGTAACTTGGCTCTATGTAACTTGGCTCTATGTAACTTGGCTCTATGTAACTTGGCTCTATGTAACTTGGCTCTATGTAACTTGGCTCTGTGCAACTTGGCTCTGTGCAACTTGGCTCTGTGCAACTTGGCTCTGTGCAACTTGGCTCTGCGCAACTTGGCTCTGTGTAACTTGTCCAAGGGCTCCGCACGGAAGAACCCTTCGCAATGCTTTCGGGAAACAAATGTTTGCTTGCATGCTTGCTTGCTTGCTTGCTTGCTGGCTTGCTTGCTTGTTTGCTTGCTTGCTTGCTTGCATGCTTGCTTTAAAAAAACATGTTGGCTTGCATGCTTGCTTGCTTGCTTGCTTGCTTGCTTGCTGGCTTGCTTCCTTGTTTGCTTGCTCGCTTGCATGCTTGCTTGCTTGCTTGCTTTGCTTGCTTGCCTGTTTGCATGCTTGCCTGCTTGCTTGCTTGCTGGCTTGCTTCCTTGTTTGCTTGCTTGCTTGCATGCTTGCTTGCTTGCTTTGCTTGCTTGCTTGCTTGCCTGTTTGCATGCTTGCTTGCTGGCTGGCTTGCTTCTGCGTTTGCTTGCTTGCTTGCTTGCTTGCTTGCTTGCTTGCTTGCTTGCTTGCTTGCTTGCTTGCTTGCTTGCTTGCTTGCGTGCTTGGTTGCCAACTTGCTCCAGATGCTTGCTTGCTGGCTTGCTGGCTTGCTGGCTTGCTGGCTTGCTGGCTTGCTTGCTTGCTTGCTTGCTTGCTCCTTGCTTTGCCTACTTGCTTGCTTGCTTGCTAGCAAGCCCTCGGTTACGGCTAACCCCTTGCTTGCTTCCTTGCTGGTCTAACTAGAAAAAAATACGCCGAAAAACCGGAAAACAATTCCCCAGAAAATAGGGGAGCCATAGAATAATGGCACCCTTTTTCTGTAGTCTATTGTAGTGGAACCCTCTCCCAAAAAGGAACGGTAAAAGGGCGCTACTGGGGGACCTAGTTGATCAACCCCCAAGTCTTTAAGCCAGGGCGCAAAGGCTTGAGCTCGGTCTGAAGCCACCTCACTACCTCCTTCTCCGCTCCCTCCTCGAGTCGAGGAAGTTGGGGGCGGGAAGGGATAATCATCCAGGGGACCCCGGAAATTATGTCTTTCCCTCTGCTTTCTCTCTAACCTCAACAAACAGAGGGGAACCCTCAAAGACTCAAAAGAAGAGAGACCCACATGACATTCGGCCACTGTTGCCCTTCAACACCACCAATACAAGGGGAACCCGCCGCCTGGCATTTGACCACTTTTGATGAGAACACGATTACGTTGCAGGACACATACTTTTTGCGGAATGGGGCGTCGTGGCTGCAACACAAGGAGCGAACTAAGGAGAACGGGAGGTTGGGGTACTTTGACACCAAACTTCGTCGTTAAGAGAGACTGCGAGCAAGTGTTAGCCCGAAATTCTCAGCTCCTGGCACTGTGGATTGGCAATAAAACCTGAGCATGTTGCCTGCCACTGTATAAGATGGTCTATACAGAAAGTACATCAAGTCCGCTGACTGGCGAAGAGAGCATGGCTTTAGAACCAACATCAGGCGTGATCAACCTGCATTGCTTGTTAAACTACAGCGGATGGACGAAAACCATTTCGCACCACCAAAGAAACGGCTTCTGGCTTCAACCATGGTTTCCTTTCGTGGTGCGAACATGGATAAAACCTGATCAGAGCGGATCTAAGTCCACATCATGGCTCGTTTTGCTCCGTGTCACTCATTCACTTTCGGTACCGACGTTAAAAATTGCTTGGGATATATACGGTTGGAAAAAAAAACACAACAAAACAGAACGTACAAGCCTCAAGGCAAAGCCAAGTACTAGCGTTGGGGCTGAGGTGAACTCTTGGGGCTCATGGGATCCGGTCCGCAGAGCCCCGAGGATCGCAAGGATGACTTGCGAGCGCTTCGGTTTTTGCCGCCCTTGGAACCAAAGAGGACGTGGCTGTGGGTCGAAAATCGGGCAAACCCCCATTTCTGGCACCCTGGTAAGTGGAAACAATGACTCAAACCTGTGGTATCCTGGTTTTGTGGTGGTTTAACTTTGACCCATGCCCACATGGCGCAAGGAGAACCCCGAAGCGGCTACCGATCCTTGAGCTCGTTCATGGCTTTTCGCAGCGCCACAGACTTCTCCACCACCTCTGCCGACCTCAGAGAACCCGAGTGCCGGGTCCTAGAAAACCCGCACTCGCGCCAAAGACACCATGGGACCCTACGGAAAACCAAGGCGCTGGCCTCTAAAAAGAAGCAACCCCCAAGAATCACAGGGAGGTTTCCCTCATCTTGGGGGATTTTGTGTTGCGTGCCAAAGGCTTCTGAGTTAGAAACTTTCTAGGCTTCTTGACAGGTTCTGTGCTTGGCCCGCCATGGAGCTTAGGCATCAGCTTCCCCCGATGCCGTGGAAAAGAGGTGCCCCTGCCCCCAGAACCGGGGCTTCAAATCCAAACGCAAACCACACATGTCTATGATTTTTAAGGGACCCTTTGGTGGACATCATTCTTTTCGGGATTCATGTCCACCAATCACTTTTCAGGTTCCCTACTAAGATGCATGGCCATGGCCATAGGCTTATTCTATGTGTGTCTTTGTTTATTCTATGTTAGGGGGGTGGGGGTGATTCCCCACCCAGGTAGCAGGAGGGCCTTCAAATCCCTAAGCCACCAATCAGAGCGCTTCACAGCAGCTGAGGAGCTGCGAGGCCAACTCCTGGAGCTTGGCGATCCTTGGAGACAAGCCAGCCCGGCCGGCTTGGAGAACCCGTTTTTCTTGGGAAGACCATATATTTTCTTGGAGAACCCGTTATTTTTTTGGGAAGACCATATATTTTCTTGGAGAACCCGGTTTTTTTTTGGAGAACCCGTTTTTTAGTTTTAGTGGGTTTCAGCCACCAAAATAAGCTCAGGTGATATCCCCAACAGCATGCGGTGCTCTTTTCAGTGCTCGCACCACCCCGTAGCCCTCGTGGAACCCTGGCGGAACCCTGGTGGAACCCTCGTGGAACCATACAGCTGTTGGAAAAAAAAGGGGAAAAAGGGTGCCACTGAACAACGGAGTCATACCAGAAATTTCTGGGTGTGGCTCCAAAACCTGTACCAAAATGGCACCTTGGGAAATGGAACCAGAGACAACAACCGGTTAGTAACCCTACCTCTTAAATTTTGAGCCACACACACACACCTATTTCTGGGTCTGAAGTTTACGGGACCCTCTCAAAAACTGGATGGCAAGCCAGAGTAGCTAACCCCTAGCATCGCACTGAAAAGGGGCTGGAAAACAATTTGTCCTCTTACAGGGACCCCTGCCAGCTTCCATATAAATTGGGAGGGCAACCAGATCTCTGTTCTTGTTTTGGTTTGAGGGTTGCAAGCCCTTGGTTACCTACTGCACAGGTGATGCTGACCCCGATTGTTAATCCCCGAGATGATTTTGGCTGGAGGGTGCCGCCTTTTAGTGGGGGTTAGAGGGGAGCAACCCCCTATTGATAGGAGGGGACATTGGGGACCCTCAAGCAAAATCCAGCCAAACTGAAAATGGTCCAACCCAAAAACCGACTAAAGTCAGGGAACATTCCCATTCATTCCCTGAGAGCCAGCAACTACATGACCCACTCAACCCATGCTGTCTATGGCAGCAGCAAGTTTAATTCCCGCCCCCGCCCCCGCCCCCCCCCCCCCCCCCGGCCCCCCCACCCTTAAAAAAACGCAAAACAGAGGAAACAACTTCCAGAGCAAAAAGGAAAGATTCTTTCCAGGGCTCCCCCCCTCCCCAAAGGAAATAATATATTCCTTAACCAACAGAAAATCCCCCCCCCAAAAAAAGAAAGAAGAACACAAAGAAGAAAAACAACTACCCCCCCCCCCCCGGCCCAAAAAGGAACTTCCAGGGCTCCCCCCCAACAAAAATATATATAAACAAATAGAAAGAACACACGGCGGGGTTGGTCGTTGCTTCCGCCCGCTGGGCGCGCCCGGCAGCTCCGTGGACTTCACCTCCGGGGACTTCAGCGCCTGCTGGGCCGCCTGACGTTCGACGCGACGCGCCGAGCCGAACCGCCGAGGAGGAGCCGGGAGTCGCCGGGGGGCGCGCCAAGGAGGCGAGGGGATTTCTCTTGGGGTGCCCTCCAGGGCTTCAAATCCCGATCCAAACCACTAGAGGGAGGCTGAAACATAGTTCTTTTCTCGAGGCTCCTTCCAACCGTTTCTTTGTTTTTATATTTTTTAATGGGTTTCTTAAGGGGGGGAGGGTCAGGGGGGGTACCTTCCGGGCCGAACTAAGTCCAAGGCAGGGCTTCTCGATCCGAAAGGCTGGCTTTAGGAAAGCCGAAGGACAGGCAGAGTTTGTGGCTTCGGGCAATGATTTCTAGGGGTACCTTTTCCATTTCCCTAGAAACTTCCTGGAAGTGGTACCTTCTTTCTAGGGGTACCCCTAGAAGGAACCTTTTCTTCCCCCTTCTCTTTCTCGCTCCCCGAGTTCCTGGATTTGAATCTTCCGACCATTTATTGGGGGGTACCTTCCACTTCCATTCTTTCCAGGGATCCGAATCTTTTCAGGAAACCATCCAAAAACCCAGGGGAAACGGATCCGGTTATTGAAAAGAACCGAAGGTTGAAAGGAATGGGGAATCAACCCCTGCAGGATTCTTCGGCCCCTCGGTCCGTTTTAGGGGGGGTAACCAAATAGAAGAGGATGCATACTAGGTCCTGCAGTAGAAAGGTTAGAATAAGGGTACCAACTTTTTTTTCTGTAGTCTATTTTAGTAGGGGAACCCGTTTGGGAGCCCAAAATGGGAGCCCAAAACCATTGAAACGGGGTCTTGTTGCGAGTTCGGACTTTGGCGCTCATAAAATGCGTATGGGTCAAACTAAGCCACCAGGAATTGGACCCCAAGACAGGGAGCCAGATAGGTTCTCACCCCCCCTCGTTCCTCAAAAAGAGTTGGTTCCCGAACCCGCTTCAACCAGTATCGGGGGGACCCCAGACATGGGGATTCCCATGATGGTAGATGGTTCAGCCCCCCGTGCTTTGGTGGTTGGGGGTGGCTTCCCAGCTACCCTCTACTACAGCCAAGGATTCAAGCCAAACCTCCAATCCGAACCACCAATGAAAGTTTACCTGACTCATAGCACTCCTTGGATGTCCAGTCAAAGGATGATGTTTGGCACCTCCCGAACTTCCATTTTTGCTTTTTGCGCCCCCTGGCGAAATGAGCGCACATTCCCAGTAATGAAATCGATTCCCTTTAAAGCCAAAACGGGAAGATAACAAACTCATAAAACAATAAACGATGCAGGGAAGAGCAAAAATCACCACTGAACCCAAACAAAACAGAAATGACATCCCTGTAAAACCAACATAACAACATACAAATATATCTATATGTACACACATACACCTTATTTTGTTCTAAAAAATCCGCTCGCTCGTTTTTCTCTGCATGCAACGAGGCGTTGGCGCGCCAGCTCCGGCCCGCCAACCCGTCAGACGCCCATCTCAGGCGGTCCGACGCCGCTTGGACGGCGCTTCCTGGCCCTCCTGGCGCTCGCTCGAAGAAATGTCCAGTCAAACTTTGGTGGCTTTGCGACCTCTTTCCATCCATCTAGGGGTGGAATACCTCTTGTTCATACCAGTTCCATGACTTCGCGGCTTCCAACCCACTTTATCAGGGGTATATGCCCCGAAATCGGGGAGAGGGGCATGAACATCAGCAGGCCTCTCAGGGGCTCATTTGTCCAAGGGGTATGTAAAAGGGGTATGCACAAGCACCTCAGGCATCCCCCCTTACCGACAGAGGGGGAGGGGTGGGTCCCTCAATTCCAATAAAACCTGGTCTTCCCAAAGCAGAAAATGGGTTGCCATAAATGGACTTCCCTCCCCAATTCCATTTACAAGGGGGCGGGGATCCTCAGGCATGCGGCATGCGACAAAGGTTTGGTAAATTGTGCTTGTTCATCCGGGGAAACGAACATATAGCAAACATATTGTGTTTTTGGGGCTTCTCAGATTTGGAAGTGGAGGCCGTTTGTGCATTTGCACATGTGCCCTAAGCAAAGCTGCGGGAAGCGCTCGAAACCCCCGACGAGGACATTTCCAGTAGTGATGAATTCCTTTCAAACCCCCAAAGGGAAAATCAACCACATTCACTTCAGCAAGTGGAGGTAAAAAACGAACCCGCGACCCCCGAGAAAAAAACAAAACAACAAGCCGCTCGCAACCCCGACGGGAAAAAAAACCGTCCGGCGAAAATTTCGCTTCGCGTCGGGGCGTCCTCCGGAGGCAGCCGGGGAACTTCCGCCCAGGGCTGGCCCGGAACCTTGGCCGCGTCCAGGAAGAAGGGGCACGCCGGCCTCGAGATCTTCGAGCGAAAGGCGCGAAATGGAAATGTTCAGTCGTCTTCCAGTTGCGTTTGTCTTGGCCCCTGGGGAAATATATATATATATATTATTATATTATATTATATTATATTATATTATATTACATATATATATATATATTTCCAGTAGTGATAGATTCCCTTTAAACCAACAAGGGGAAAATATAAAATATGGTTCAGCAAATGTAAGTCATGGAATAGGTACCTTCGCGGGGCGTAGCTGAGACCCGCAGGGTTCCTTAGGGAGTCTCAGGGAACCTCCCCTGGGACCATCCATCCTCCCCCCTTTCAGGGATTCCATAACTTTTGGCCGATCGAAGGAAAGCAATCCATCCTTCGACTTTTCTTGCACTCAACTTGACGCGTTGGGTTTCGGGTCGACCAAACCAATCTGAGACTCTGCCCAGGGCTCGAGAGGCGATATCAAAGAATTGATTCGCCTTGGGCAAGAAGAAGCTCCTTGTCCCCCTGAGTTTTTCCACATATTTCCCCAGGTCCCAACAGCCCAAAGCAGCATCTCCGGAACCCTCCCTGAGGGCCTGAAAGCTGCCCCAAACCACCCCTTGAGATCCCCTCAGCAACAACCAGAACTCGCCAGCATTCGGAATCCATCGTATGGTGCAGAAGACAAGGAATCCTACACATTGGTCGCAAAATCGGGTTTGGGATAAGAAGACAACCAGGTGTGCAATTCTGCTTTAACTGAGAAGGTTATTAAAATACTCTACCCACCAGAACCGTGAAAAGACTTAAAAAGGCGGGCGGAGGCACCCATTTATGGTTGATCCCTTACTAACCTTCAAATAATCCCCGGGATTTGAGCAAGTGGCTTAACTTTTGGGAGGAACCCCCCTTAATTTCCCGACATTTACCGTGGTTTTGTGGTAGTGTGCCACCTTCCCCTCAAAAAGGACACACCCATGACCCTCCCACCAATTAACACGGAGGTTTGGACCATTTCCCTTTTACAGGGACCCGAAACGTTGGGTTCCACGGAAATTAGTTGGTGCTGTGGAGCCCCCAGCAAGAAGTTTAACTCTTCGCTGGTTAAAAGGAAATACGAGGGGAATCAACAAAAGTTAAAGTCCAAAGATCCAACCTAGTAGCAGTGCATCTCCCCCCAAGCGAACGAACCGAACCGCGCACTGGGCGCGCGGGCATGTCCAGCTCCGGCTCCTCCTCTGGGCCCTTGCCCGGAGCCCCCAGCGCCGCCGCCATCTGCGCGGGGTCGAAGTGCTCGAAGCGATGGACCACCTGATCTCAAGCACCCGGAGCGCTGAGAAGGCGCCTGGTGGACCCAGCAAAGTTCGACAAAATGATGATCTCAGTTGTTCAGTGACCCTGGAGAAAAATGAAAGGAACCCTTTTTGAGGAAGACCATTTCTAGTGGGGCAGCCACCAAAAAAGAAAAAGAAGAAAATACAAAAAAGGGGAAACAGGGTGCCACTGAACAACTGAGTGATCCTTTTCGTTGATGCCCGGAGAAAAACAACAAAACACGCATTTGAGTGTCCATTTGAAAACAGCAAGCGCTGAGGCTCCAACAATTTGAGTACGTTTAGGGCCCGGAAATCACCGGGTTTTGAGACTGAGGCCCAAACACCAAAGAGGGGTGTCCAAAGGAGGGGTCTGGGTCTTCCAGCCCCAAGCTTCAAGAGCCTCTGGCCGAAGGAAAACACTAGAGGCGCAGGCGCCAGCCTGTTGAATGTGTCTGGGAAGCATGGCAGACCCACAAAGCGCCTCAAGATGATGGAGCTTCCTTGCTTGGTTCCCCTGTTCACCAACCGCTGGTATGAACCAGTTTACTGGATGGATATTTTTACCCACCAATTCTGGCTCAACTATGGAAGGTTACCTGGGTTGAAAAAAAACCCCGTGGACAACCCTTGTATCCTTATGCCTCAGTATCGGTCAGTATCGGTTCTTTTCCTCTGCATCGGTTTGCAGTGTTTTGGCAGCTCTGGCTCGAAAGTCGCGACTTTTCCGTACAAGTGTAGTAGGCGAAGTACACTCTGCCAGCTCCCAGCCCCAGCTGGAAATCGCAACTTTCAGTACAAGTGTAGTACACAAAGTACATTTTGGCAGCTCCAGCTGGAAAGTAGCAACTTTTCAGTAGTATGCGCAGGACACTTTGGCAGCTCCGGCTCGAAAGTCGCAGCTTTTCAGTGCAAGCAAGTGTAGTATGGTGTAGTATACGAAGTACATTTTGGCAGCTCCACAGCGGCAGTTGCAACTTTTCAGTACAAATGTAGTACACAAAGTACATGTTGGCAGCTCCAGAGAAGGCTGCAGGGCAGCTGGTTGGATTCGGCATGGCGGCCAATGAGTTGGGTATCGGTTGGGTATCGGTTTGGGTATCGGTTTGGGCCCTGCAAATTTATGATTCCGCAATCTTGGTTTGCGACAACAACTAGGACCTGATGTGTGTCTTCATGGCTTCTGGGGGTATCGGTTTTTTTTTCCTCTGTATCGGTTTACAATGGTTTTGGCCTGCGAAACAAGTTAAGGGACGGCCCCTTACATAACGAAAAGGCGCGGGGTATTTTTTTCAGCCCACCTGGGTTCATATAGGAGGATGCAGCGATTCATTCGAAGGACACCAGGCAAACCGATTGAAACATCGGGGCCGGCGTTGATGGATCCACGTCACCGGGTAACCGGCCAATCGAGCGGCGGGTAGATGCCTGAATCCAATGGTATAGGAGGCCTATGCAAACCGCTGTAACCATTTCTATGGGCATTCGGCGCCACAGGTACAAGGACCCAACAATGATGGTGCCGTATAGAACAAACATGCTAGAGTGTGTTCAATTTGTCCGAATATTTCAGTATGTGAATTGCCAATACTGCAAGTAAAATGTCACACACCACACAACAATGGCAAATTGCAGCAAACTGAAGAGGGGGGGGCGCTGCGGGTTTCTAGGCTTACAATATTGCAGAGGCACCCACCGTCAGCTTCCCCCCCGCCCCCCGCCATCACCTCAACAAATTCTAGGCAGTCAAAAGGAGGCGTCAAAAACCCACCAACAGAACAAATTGGGTGTTTCCGAAGGAAAAAAAAAGGGACCCCATCTAGGGTTGCTGTCCTTTCCCTTTAACTCCCAACCGCGGGTCCGAAATACTTTTGAAGACCAATTTTCTTGAAACGCCAGTTCCCAGCTTCTTGGTGCGGAAAAACGCTCCGCCCATCTCCCGAAAAAAGAAAAAACAAAAAAGGGGAAAAATGCGAAAACAAAAAGAAAACGCGGCTCCCGAGCACCGATCTCTCTCTCGGCCGCCGCCGCGGCACGTATTGCGGGAGCTCTGCGAGGCGCAGCACGTCTTTGTCCCGGAGCTCCACCCAGTTGCCCTTGGGCACCCGCTGCTCCTTGGGTGCTGTAGCTGTGTTTCTGCGCGTGGCGGTTGACAGAGCAAAAGTTAGTTAAACTCTTGCTGGTTAAAAGGAAATATGAGGGGAATCCAAAAAGTTGAAGTCTACAGATCCAATATCGGCAGAGCTTGCCACCCCAAACGAGATGAAGGAAGCCGCTGGTTAAGATGGCCCAAGCCCTTGCGGAAATTCGTGTTCCGGGCTATGCGTCGACAGTTTTACCAGTGGTGAGATCGATTCCCTTTGAAGCCAGGGAGAAATAAACCACATGTTCTCAAGCAGATTGAAGTTGATACTTCACTTTGAAGGGGGCATTCCAAAGAAATTGGAAAGGGCACAGCCTTGGCTGAGTTAGGGGTTTGCCCACCTCCAACAAAGCTCAAGGAGGCAATGTTGCATCGGGCGACTGGGCCTGGAACTAGGAAGAGCCCGTCCATGTGAAAAAAGTCCCCTGGAACAAATGAGAACTGTGTCTTGGCTATTTGGTTGGTTGGTCTTGGTTGGTCTTGGCTGGCTGGTCTTGGTTGGCTGCCTGGTTGCCTGGTTGCCTGGTTGCCTGGTTTGCTGGTTGGCTGATTGGCTGGTTGGCTGGTTGGCTGGTTGGCTGGTTGGCTGGTTGGCTGGTTGGCTGGCTGGCTGGCTGGCTGGTGGGTTGGTGGGTTGGTGGATTGGTGGGTTGGTGGGTTGGTGGGTTGGTCGGTTGGTGGGTGGTCGGTTGGTGGGTGGTTGGTTGGTGGGTGGTTGGTTGGTTGGTTTAGGGGGCAATAAACAAAGCATGATTTTTTTACATTGAAGATACTCCCGTTGGGGGCCGTGTTCCAGGGGGGAGGCTTTGGGTTTCCCTACTTGGGTGTTCGATTTTCCAGGTAGTTGGTAACGACTCGGTCGCCCACCAAAAACCCGGTCGCCCGTGTGAAACGAAGCCTGAGTGGGTTCTAACCCAGGAGGTTTCAGTAACCACTTAACCACTTTACTCGCGGCAACGAACATCCAAGGAACTTTCAGGTACCCAAACAACCCTTCAACGGTTCAGGGTACCAGTCGCCCCCCCCAACCCCCATAGCATTAGGCCCATGGAATGCCATTTGAGCCAGAATCAAAACCCTTTGTACTAAAATGGTGAACCCAGAACCATGCTTCAAGAATTAAGGCGGAATTCCGCAGCTATTTATGGCAAGGGGATTGGCCCTTACCTTCACCAATCCCCGGGTTTTGAGGCCGGAATGCCATCAGCTATTTCCGGCCAGGTCTCAGGTAACCCTTGATTTGTGGCCGGTGGCTCGGGCAATGGAGCGGTTCTTGATGGAAAACCGAAGCCGAAAGTCGCTCCCAATGGATAGGCGACACAAAAAAAAACGATCTGAGCACTTGGGGAAGGGCTGACCTCGCCTTAGGTTTGGAATAACGGTTGTGAGGTTTGCTCCAGTTTGCAAAAAAATACCGTGGGGGAGGAGCGTCCTATCGATCTATCTATCCAATCTATACGACTTCCGTTCAAGCTTAACACTCAGCCTGCATATTCGATGCACAACCACACTTTACATTTTCCAGGCATGATCAGCAAGACATGGTTATGAATCTTGTAAACACAAAGCCTCAAACGCGTTGAACATGAATTTCCACCATCACATGATGTCCACAATTAACACCCATTCCATCCCCCTATAGCATAAAACAATACATTTCAAGCGGGATCCCCTTCCTCGTTTTTCTTGCTGGTCCTCAACAAGAAAGTGGAATAGTCCCAACAAAAAAACATCCGACTGATAGTTTCCTTTATTCGGGGACCAAAGCCTGGGTTCATTCTCTCATACACCACTGAGCACCAGCAAGTCGTTTCTTCACCCCTTTCAACGAATCATCTTTCATGCTTTGCCTACCCAAGCCCAAGGCCCCCTATGAGACATGCCCAGAGAACCAAATCGCACCGATCCCATGGACACATGCCTGTGGGTCAAAACCTTTTGGGGTAGGTGCACCACCCATGTTAGTCTATTTTGGTGGGGATTTGGGATGTTCACCGGGGGCACGATTCCGGATTTTGAAAAGCCCATGGCCACATCTGCCAAAGGAAAGCCCAAGGCCCCCCTAAGGCGGCCGTCTATGAAACACATGCCCAGAAAGTCCTATCGCCCCCATCCCAAGTTTGGGAGCAAAGTCCAATCGCCCCCATCCCATGGGAGACGAGCCGCGTTCACGAAGGAGCCGTTCTTGGAGAGGTCCCTCACGAAGAGCCGCTTCTCGTGGAAGTCGTCCCCCGAGACCGGAGACATCAGCTTCAGCTCCGCGTGGAGGTTGCTGATGCCCAGGCCCTGACCAAAAAAAAAACGCCCCCCCCTGGCCCCAGAAAAAGGTCCATTTGGTTAAGACTCCTGGGAAAAAATGAGAAAACATATCCAGTAGTGCTAAAAGTTCCTTTTAAAACCAAGGGAAAATAAAAAAACAAATATTGATTTCAGCAAATGGAAGAAAAAGGTCCCAGGGCTTCTCTCTCCGGCCTCTTTCAAGCTGAAACTAGGTCCTCCAGTAGTTTGAGGGTAGAATAAGTTGGTACCCGATGTGTTTCTGAGGGGAACCCTCCCCAATGGCAAGGTTTTTAACCCATACTCATACTGTGGGGGTGGCTGCGAGATCAAGAAATCGCACCACGACATGATGCTTCACACATCTTGACACCATTGTTGGTATGAACGGGGAGGGTCATCATCCCAAGGCTTTCTTAGGGTTTCAATCCACAGTCTTGCGGGCGTCTTTGGGGAGTCCGACCCCCTGCCCAGGGAAAACGGGCCATTGAAACCACAGGGGTTCCAAACCCAAGCCACCAACGCAAACCACCCCCCAAACCACCAAGGGGTTGCCTGATCATACCATCATGTTGGGTGACGACCTATAATGAGACAAGCCATCTACCAACGGGTGACAATCAGCGTGGATATTAGTCGGAAAGCCCCATGTTCCCCAAAGTTTCCGTAATCTGGCTCACTCCCTTATCTTCTCCAACTTTCTGTAATCTGGCTCCCCCATCTTCTCTTGGTGGAAAACCCTGCCGGGGTGGGGGGCTTCAAATGGCCATGTGAGACATGGAAAGCCCATCGCATCAATCCGTTTCCCCCAAAAGGCCTCCTGGCCGATGCAAAGGTGCCGACTCCTCTCGCGACCGATGCCCAGGAGCGAGGGGCCCCAGTGGGCAATCTGCAGTCGCTCCTCGATTTCGAACGTGAGGCCAAATTGACCATGGAACGTGAGGAAGGGCTGGATGTATAGCTTGTTGATCAATTTACTGGTGGGGGTCCGGGAAAAAACAACTCTTGAGGTCCAAAACCCTGTTTCACACTTGAGATCGAGAAAACGCCGGTTTTAACCACCCAAAGAGTGGTTGGGGATAAGGGAAACAAATAGGCCAACCTCTGGAGGGGGAGCTTCTGGGACGACCATTTCAACATCTATCTCTCCTTCGTCCGAGCCAACGAAACCGACTTTTGAGGTTCCAGGGTCCTGAGCAAAAGAAGGCAACGATAACATCCGAACCCAAGAGAATGGAGGTGGAAGTCAGGGCCGCGACGTTCAAGTGGAAGTGAGTCGGAAACCCCGAGCAAAGCCCTTGATGGGTGCACTTCTGAGCTCGTGCAAAAGCTTTTGCTGATTAAGGCACCATTTCTGGTGAGACCCTGGCACTGGCATGAACCTCTGGTTTTCTTGTTAATTAACCCTGAGCTATACTTATGGCCGGATTACAGGGGACCAGCTTTCAAATGAGTTTGCATATTCATAGAGGTGCTCCCATGTAAGGTGAGATGAACCTGCCGACCGAAAACCAACCGACCGAGCTTAAACATTTGTTTTTCTTTCGAGGGCCATTTCTCCTGCGAGGGCGCGACGCCTAAGGTGAAAACCAACCAACCGAGTTGAAGCCATATTCCCGAGCTCGCCAGCTCGGGCCGATTTCTCCTGCGAGGGTGCGACGCCCCACTTCAAAGGGCAGAGCTCAAAGACCGGGCCCGCCAGCCGGTCCTGGCGGACCAAACGGATGATGGTGGCGAAACCCATTTCGTTTTTTCTCGCACCACTTTGGAGCCAACGGCGCTCAAACCATAAGGTTGGTTGGCATTTGCAAGGGAATTTTGAGAAACCAGGGTTTCCGGTGGTGCGAGAAGCGGACTTCGCAACCATCCACGGTATGCCTGCTTCCTGGTTCCTGAGGGAATGACCCCGAACTGAATCCAACTGGTGGCTTCCTTTCCGGGCACCCGAAATGAGCCAAGCCCTATGCGACAAACCACCTATCAACTGGTGGAATTCTCCCTTCCACAGCACCATGGATGCTTCTCTGTTCGTCGATCTAGTCAAAACCAAACATGCAAAATGGTCCCAAACGTCAGTTGCAAACCCTGATTTGAAGCCATAGCCAGGCGAGAAATCGCCGTTGCGAACGCGAACACGAACCCCGAAAAAAGCGCGGCCAAGCGTTCATAGCGACGTTGCTTTTTGATCCTTCGATGTCCCCACTCAGAGGACTCAAGCGCGGCCCAAGTCCCCCCACCCCCACCCCACTCCTCCTCTCCCCCCGCTTCGCCTCCGGCGTCTTCAGGGGCCGCGCCAGCGAGGGCCAGCTCTGCCGCGCGGAGCTGCCCCCGCGCACCGCGCGAGTGAGGAGGGCGCCTAAAACGCGAAGACTTGGCTGCGCTTGGCGCTTGGCTTAGGGGGAGAGGGGGGGAATGGGAGGGGGGGGGAGGGGGGAGGCTGCAAGGTGCGGGGGCCAGGTGAGTAAGTGGTTAGTACACGAGCTGATACCCTACTAGGTCCTCCAGCGCAGAGGCTAGAATAAGTTGGTACCGTTTTGTTTCTTCTTTTTTCTTTCTCTGTTGCCTGTTTCAGTAGGGGAACCCTCCCCCCAAAAAAATGGTAAAAGGGACCCTGGAACAGGGAGCCCCCTTTTTGGGCAGACCATTTTTCGTGGGGCAGCCGCCGAAAAAATTGGAAAAAAGCTTGCCGCTGAACAACTGAGGCCCTATTTACAAGCAGGCCAACTGCGGGGTGGGGGTGGTCCTATGTTAAGGGAGGTGGGGGCTGGAAATGCGTTCTGTTTGTTTCCCCCTTCCTACCTATAGGGGGAAGTTGGGAAATGGGCGCTTTCCTCCGCAAACTTCGGGCTGGGATCTAGGGAGCGAGGTCCCAAGATTCAGTACCAATGTATGGCCTATGGCCGATGGCTGGCCTGTGGTGTCCCTGAAAACCTCAATTTGCTTTTGTTCGCCCCCTGGGACAAGGTTCTCCCAGTAGTGATAGATTCTCTTAGAAACCAAGAGGGGAAAAAGAAGAACTCGGTTTTGGACCTCAAGATTCTGTGCCCATGGAAGCCTATGGCCTATGGCTGGCCTGTGAAGGAGCCACACCAAACCCCGGGCAGCGGGCAGCTCGCCCATCACTGGCGAGCTGCTATAGACGCCATAGGCCGCGCGCACCAAGGCGAAAGCGAACTCCGGCTTCATTCCTTAGGCCAACGATGAGTAGAGCTTGGTCCACCCCCTGTTCAATGAGATATCAACCACTTGACACTACATAGCTACCATATAAAGGGCATATGGTTCGATTTTTGGAGTAGAGTGACTCTTCCGGAAAAAATCTCACAAGGGTGCCTCGCAGCAGCACGTGCGCAATGGTTCGCAATCCTCACATCCCGATGGAATGGATGGGCAAAACCTGTTCGTCGGAACTCTTTGTCTGCTTTAAGAAGTGACTCAAATCCAAGAACTCGGGGCTTCTGAACTCTTAAAATCGAAGGCTGGAACCGCTATGCCCAACCAGTTATGTCATGGCTGGTTTTTGCAATCCTTGCCCCAAGTGTTGAATTCTGCCCGGAAGGGGAGCCAGGGGAAGATCATAATCCTTTGCGTTTTCCACATTTGGAGATTTGAAACCCATATCACTTCGTATGGGTGTCTTTATTTCCCCCCCCCCAGAGTAATATGTGGTGCTCCTGTTGGTTTCCTTTTACCAACGACGAAAGGAGGGTACCCTCCAAAACGATACACTCACAGATCCGCTCCATGGGATATGATTAAGTCGCGCATACCCTCCCCAAACCCTCCCCAAACCCTGCGCTCCAAATCACAGAAGCTGAACATCGAAAAGTTTTGCACACCTACCCTGCTCTTCAAACAAAACCAATCCACTTTCATGATTGTTCGGAGCTGATCCATCCCTAGGTCCTCCAGTAGAGAGGACAGAATAAGAGTACCAACTTGTTTGTAGTCTATTTTGGTAGGGGGTTCCCCTCCCAACCAAAAAAGTTGGGCAAAAGAAAGTTGGCATCTAGCTGGGGGACCTAGAAATCCATCCAAAGGGTCCGACTCACCTGCGCACAGGGATCCTTACATTATACACCTGAACATTGACTTGTAAATGGCGGTTTCCCTTTGTTTTGGTGGAAAAAGCCATGTTTCAACAGGGCAAAAGGTATCTTTTAAGGAGCCTTTAAAACATCACCCCCACCCAGAAATACTCACCTCTCATAGGCCAAACACGTGATGTTTAAAACCACCAAAAAAGGGGGAACATAGGGACCCCTGAAAAGATGGTCCGACTCAAAAACCTGCGCCCGAAAACGGCACGCGAGCAAGTCGAAAGTTGTCTCGGGCCGGGCGGCGGGCTGCCATGGGGTTGTGCAAGGCCCGGCCCGTGAGCGCCTTGTAGACGCCCCAGGCCCCACGGTTGGAGGTGAAGTCGATCACCAGATGCGCCACGTCACCAAGCCGGACCAACGTCACCTCCTCCCGGGCGGACGTGTGTTCTTCTTTTTTTTGGTGGGGTTGGCAGGACCTAAGGTTGACCTTAAAGGGGCTGACTTTTTTTGGGGGGGTGGGGGGGATGATCTGAGGTTTTTGTTGTTGTTTTTTTGTGAGGTTGGGAGGACCTAAGGGCTGACGTGTTTTTTTTGGTGGGGTTAGAAGGACCTAAGATGGACTCACATGAAGTTAAACCCCGGTTGATTCATCTGGGGGTGTCCTTGGGTGAAATGTGGGGATTCTGTCCACTTTTGGAGGAGGTTACACCCCTATATGAATAGCCAGGCGGTGATTTATCCGGGGTCCTACAGTACAAAGCAATCATGCTTGAACCGCTCGGAGGCCCAGCAGCCGCCGAAACAACACAAAGAGAGGAGCAGTTTGTCTTGGTCAATATTTTTTGGCAAGCCCAGTCAGCGGATTCCCAAACAAAGGAAAGACATGCTGCCACTGGACAACTGGGTTAAAGGGCAACCAGTCTCCAGTGACGAATTCCAAGCGGACCCTGGTCTGCCGCGCGGCTCTTCCCGCGTCCGTCTCAATTTTCCCCATCCTTGACATCGCCGAAAAGCTGGGCGAAGTCGTGCCAATGCGTCCCAGCGCTGCATTTGCAGACCTTCTCGCCTCCAAATGGTCGGATGGACCGGCAGATGTTGGATGGGTTGGTCTTTGAGGTATGGACGTGCATGCCACCAACAGAAACCCCGGATTTAGACACACGTCTTAGCGGGCGCGCATCACCTTTGGCGGGGAACACCTTGATTCACAGTAAAGCCGCTGACAAAAGGGACTTTGCCAGCCTGCGGCTTCAAAGGCTTCGTTTCAACCAGCACGTTTTTTAGTTGCTCACCTTGCAACGCCTTCTTCGGCAACTGCATCTGGGTGTGGCTCTTTTTGTGACGGTACCTTCTTTTTCTGGCATGTGGTTTTGCAGGGAAGCAACAGGAAACCAACCATTTTCACTCCGATTCCTTTAAACAAAACACTCCCATGACTCCCTTGCGGTGAAAACACCCGGAGCCTTCTGAGCTGACGAACCCCGGGGTCTTCTGTACTTGGCGAAATCATTTTCGCACCACTTTGAAACCATGTTTGACACGATAACATTGGTTAGTATTTACGTTGGGGAATCGAGTCATTCTAGGGTTTCCTGGGTGGTAAACCATATCGTTGGTGAGTATTTACCTTGCACAATCGAATCAGAAACCGTTGGGCTTGTGAACCCTGGCGCGAGAAGCGGATTTCGCAACCATCCGCAGTACTAAGAGTCTTTGAACCATGGCACACATTCTAGGTCCTCCAGTGGAGAGGTTAGAATAAGGGTACCGTTTCCTTTTTTCTGTAGTCTATTTTCGTAGGGGGCTCCCCTCCCAACCAAAAAACTTGGGTGAGAAAGTTGGCACCTAGCTGGGGGACCTAGCATTCTCGGTTGCTTTCTGCTCCCCTGCTAAAAGTTTAGCTTTTAGTGGTTTAATGGAAAAACCCCTTAGTTGGCAAAAAGCCAGTCCTAACATCCCTTGGCAAAATGCACCGAAGCATTTCTGGCAGAAGGAATGCCTCTCCGGCACCCGCCTTGTAGGTTCCTGAAGGCCCAGGCGGCCGGCAGCTCCAGGCTCACCGCGGAGATGGAGGCGTGCTGCGGGTTCCAGCCTCGGCTGGGAGTGGGCGAGCGAGGGAGCGGTCGGGAGCGGGGGGCGCCCAAAACCCCAAAGTGGGAAACCCCCGCACCTGGCGGCTTTTGGGTTTGGAGGTATTGGAGGTATTGGAGGTATCCCCAGCCTGATATTGCAGGGTTGTTTTCAAGGGTAGAACTGTTTGGACTTGGAACTGCCTGGTTCTTGTTGAGGGTTGGTAACTGTGTGCCTTTGCGAGAGCGCGCAGTGTCTGTTCGACGCGATTCATGGGGGAGAAGAAGGAGAAGGCCCCAAATGTAAACAAGTCAGCGTGTCTGTACGCAGGCTCCCCGCAATTGGCGGCTTGGATTGGAGGTTGGTATGATTTGAAGCCCTGGTTCTCGAGGGCAGAACTCAGGTCTTCTCAATCGATGGCTTGCATTTTTTGCTGGCGCTCTCTCTTGCAGCCAAGGGTCTGCTTTGGATTGGAGCTTTAGATTTCGAAATGTCAAGCCCTGGTTCTTGTTGAGGGTGGATAGGAAACCACCCCAGAACACCACCAAGCAACAAACAAGAAGCAAGCTGACAAACGGCATGGGAGTAACAAACTTATGTTGTTGTTGTTGTTTCTTCGCAACCCCCCACTGAAAATGAACAGACCCAAAAGAAACAAGATAAACAAAACACGTGCCAACAACAGTGAAGAGAGTTCAACTTGACTTCACCTTTTGGGATTGGTTGCCATTTTTGTGGCAAAGAACGAAACAAACCTACGCTTTTTTGGCTAATCCACTCGTTCGGCTAAGGAAGGGTTTCCACTGGCTTTACATGAGCTAAAGGAGCCTGCATGTCAAATACAGTTACAAGGAACTTTTCACACCACCGTCGTACTAGGCGGATCTACATGAAACCTTCCTGGTGAAACGTATTTCTTTCCGTCATGGGGCCTGACCCCCCCAACAACAAAACACCGCGCGCTTAGTTGCACTGAGCGAGTCCGACAGACCAAAAGGTGCAGAGTCTCCTTCTGACCCTTAGGCCCGTTAAAAATGGGTGGTCATGGCCCATTATTCATGGGTCATAAACCAGAATTCAGGGGTCATAAACCAGAATTCAGGGATCATAAACCAAAAATTCAGGGGTCATAAACCAAAAATTCAGGGGTCATAAACCAGAATTCAGGGGTCATAAACCAGAATTCAGGGGTCATAAACCAAAAATTCAGGGGTCATAAACCAGAATTCAGGGATCGTAAACCAGAATTCAGGGGTCATAAACCAAAAATTCAGGGGTCATAAGCCAGAATTCAGTGGTCATAAACCAGAATTCAGTGGTCATAAACCAGAATTCAAGGGTCATAAGCCAAAAAATCAGGGGTCATAAACCAGAATTCAGGGGTCATAAGCGAGAATTCAGGGGTCATAAACCAGAATTCAGGGGTCATAAACCAGAATTCAGGGGTCATAAACCAGAATTCAGGGGTCATAAACGGTCATAAACCAGAATTCAGGGTCATAAACCAGAATTCAGGGGTCATAAACCAGAATTCAGGGGTCGTAAACCAAAAATTCAGGGGTCATAAGCCAGAATTTAGGGGTCATAAACCAGAATTCAGGGGTCATAAACCAGAATTCAGGGGTCATAAACCAAAAATTCAGGGGTCATAAACCAGAATTCAGGGATCGTAAACCAGAATTCAGGGTCATAAACCAGAATTCAGGGGTCATAAACCAGAATTCAGTGGTCATAAACCAGAATTCAGGGGTCATAAACCAGAATTCAGGGGTCATAAGCCAGAATTCAGAACATAAACCAGAATTCAGGGGTCATAAACCAGAATTCAGGGGTCATAACCAGAACAGAATTCAGGGGTCATAAGCAAGAATTCAGGGGTCATGACCAGAACAGAATTCAGGGGTCATAAACCAGAATTCAGGGGTCATGACCAGAACAGAATTCAGGGGTCATAAACCAGAATTCTGGGGTCATGACCAGAACAGAATTCAGGGGTCATAAACCAAAAATTCAGGGGTCATAAACCAGAATTCAGGGATCGTAAACCAGAATTCAGGGTCATAAACCAGAATTCAGGGGTCATAAACCAGAATTCAGGGGTCATAAACCAGAATTCAGGGGTCATAAACCAGAATTCAGGGGTCATAAGCCAGAATTCAGGGGCATAAACCAGAATTCAGGGTCATAAACCAGAATTCAGGGGTCATAAACGGTCATAAACCAGAATTCAGGGGTCATAGACCAGAATTCAGGGGTCATAAACCAGAATTCAGGGGTCATAAACCAGAATTCAGGGTCATAAACCAGAATTCAGGGGTCATAAACCAGAATTCAGGGTCATAAACCAGAATTCAGGGGTCATAAACCAGAATTCAGGGGTCATAAGCCAGAATTCAAGGGTGATAAACCAGAATTCAGGGGTCATAAACCAGAATTCAGGGGTCATAAACCAGAATTCAGGGGTCATAACCAGAACAGAATTCAGGGGTCATAAGCCAGAATTCAGGGGTCATGACCAGAACAGAATTCAGGGGTCATAAACCAGAATTCAGGGGTCATGACCAGAACAGAATTCAGGGGTCATAAACCAGAATTCTGGGGTCATGACCAGAACAGAATTCAGGGGTCATAAACCAGAATTCAGGGGTCATGACCAGAACAGAATTCAGGGGTCATAAACCAGAATTCTGGGGTCATGACCAGAACAGAATTCAGGGGTCATAAACCAGAATTCAGGGGTCATGACCAGAACAGAATTCAGGGGTCATAAACCAGAATTCAGGGGTCATAAACCAGAATTCAGGGTCATAAACCAGAATTCAGGGGTCATAAACCAGAATTCAGGGGTCATAAACCAGAATTCAGGGGTCATAAGCCAGAATTCAGGGGTCATAAGCCAGAATTCAGGGGTCATGACCAGAACAGAATTCAGGGGTCATAAACCAGAATTCAGGGGTCATGACCCCTCTTTCTCTGGGCTAAGAATGATCCCTTTTTCTAGTGGTCGCAAGGGAGGCTCCGTGCCCAGACGAGCAACAGCTCCGCAGGCGCGGCCCGAAGTGGCTGGAGGCCGTGTCGATGGTGTCGGCCCAGGTCACCTGGAGTTTTCTTCTTACACTTTAAAACTCCCTGCGCCCTGGGGAAGTTCTCATCTTTTACAGACATATAGCCCATGTTGCCCAAAAAGTTGAAAAGTTGTGTTTTTTAGAGGGGAGTTTTTTTTGTCGGGCGGGCCTGGGGGTCCAACCGCCGTCCAAGGCGGCCCAAAGGGGGCCGGGGGGGGAATTTGTCTTGCCACCTTTTGTTCTAAGGGTTGATTCCTTGTCCATTCTTTTCAACCATCGTTCTTTCAAAAGCCGGATGTGTTTCCCCAGGGTTTCAGGTGGTTTTTTAGAAAGAAGGATGGATGCCTGGAAAGGATGGGGAAGGTACCCCTAGATTTGTGGACAATTGATCGCCCCTCTCGCAGTGAAGGATTCCTTCTTGCGGGGGTCGGCAACTTTCTCACAGAAGGTAGCAAAAAGACACTCCCTGGTTTGGGCTTGGGAAGGGTGGGTTTGGTGTCCTCTGAGCGTGGCATCATCTAGTTTCAATGGGCTGCGGTGGTTTCGCTGGCAAATATGACGCTTGTCCTCTGACCTCGGTCCCTGACAGCCTTCTTTCGCATGTTTCCCCAGTACAAGAAAACACCCCTCCGCTGACGGAAGGGGTTTGCAAGACTGCGGTTTGCAAAGGACCCCTGTGCACTTCCATGATTGATGCTGCAAAAATAAAGGTGTTCACAAGGGGATGCTTTCCCGAGTACTCATTTGCCCCTTAGTGAGCCAAAAATAGAAGGTGATCACATTTTGGGAATCTTGACTAAAATGGATACCAAGCAGGAAAACCCAACGGTCATCAGGTCGATTCGCTGTGGGCAACTGAGAGTAACAGGAAAAGCCGAATATCAAATTGCTTGTCCAAAGCTTCAAAAGGCAGTGGGCTAATTCGTGGTCGGAAGCGTCCATTTGCCCATCCCCGGACGCCAGAACCTCACTGGACGGTGGCAATTCTTTTCGCAATCCCAGGGCATCCTGGAACACCGGCGCTTCCCTATAAAGAACCACCCATTGTTCCAGGTATCCCGGAATCGATGGTTTGGATGGGTGGCTTGGGGATTTGAACCTGTTCTTGTAGAGGGCATATGGGAAACCACCAATCCAAACCACCAAACCGCCTATCCAAACCACCAACTAGGGGGAAAACTGACATGTTCCAGGTTTCCTCGGCAAACGGACACTTCATTCACCCCCCCCCCACCGCGCCTCAACCAGAACCCCCGCCTCCCCCCTCCCCCAACCTCCCCGCCTCCCCACCCTCCCCTCCCCCCTCCCTCCAAAGCGGGCGCCTGGGCCTGCCCCAGCGTGTAGGGCTTCCACTGGCCCCGGATGTCTAGGCACTCCTCTGCCTAGTTCTAGAGGCGGATGGCTTGGGTTTCTTCCATCTGCGTGCCCTAGGGTTCAACCCCCAAAGAAAGGTTGGCCCAATTTGGATGATGACAATCCTTAGGTACACCATGGTGGTTGTATGAGCCCCCTTTGTTGCAATGGTGGATTGAATCCCAGGTGTAGGTGTTCACGCAGAGGACGAACTCCAGCTACCCCAGGAACCATGGGGACTAACTCCAGTTGCCCCAGTTACAACCATACTGTGGATGGACAAAATCCATTTCGCACCACTTTGAAACCATGGTTGAAACCATAACGTTTGTTAGTATTTACAGGTGAATCGAAACATTCCAGGGCTTCTTAGATGGTGCGAAGTGGATGTCGTCCATCCACAGTAGTTACAACCTACTTGAGTTGGTTGACGTTGGAAGGGGAGCGAACATTTATTTTTTAGCAGTTAAGTGGGGATTTCCCACTAAAACCACAATAAGCAAAAATGTAAAATGTTTCCCAACAACAACCTACTTAAGTTGGTTGAACACCCAAGAAGACTCTGAGGTGGGAGACACATGCGATTTCGCTGTGCTCAGCTGTGACTTTTGGTTGGAGTGAAGGCTGGTGTCGTTTTTTGCCTGGTGCAAACCCAGTTGGCGATTTGAGTTTTACCCGCAAGGTTTGACGACGAGCAAAGATTCCCCATTGAAATTTCCAATCCACACCTTGGATTAACAGAAATAACCCACGCCGGGCACACACACATGGTGAATAATCACATCCAAAGACCGTTTTTGGGATGCGTGCTGATGCCCGACGAGAAGGTCTTGGCCCCCAAGGGAAATATGTTGCACAAGCCTTGCTAAGGAGCAGGATCTGTTTTTTCCCGTTCCCCAAAAAGGAGGCTTGGCTAAATTGTGTTTTTATCCGTTTCGCCAAAACAGGAGGCTTGGTTAAATTTAGGCTTGCTGGCTGTAGGGAAGATGAAGGATTGACAGCATTGAAACCTTGTGGACAAACCACCTGCAAGTAAGCCAACCACACTCAACCACGAAACCATGGTAAATCACAGCTTTCCTTGTTTCTTTTCAATATCGAGTTGGCATCCACTGCGTGCCAACGTCTTAACATCGTTAAAATAGGGGACTTTCGAAAAGGCTGTTGTGTCTTCTGGGTTTCCCTCTAAAGCCACTCCAAGACGGGTACCCAGAAAACAGGGAAGCGCGCCCAAATGCGTGTGCCTTTGTGTGAGGGTACTCCAACTTGAACTTGGGGTGGGTTCAATGGGAACCCAAAAGGAGAATCACCACTTTGGGTGCGGCTCTTACAAAAGACGAGCGTCCTACCCTGTCCTGACAGAACTTTCCGGTAGCTCCAAAAAACCGCTCCCTCTTGAAACGCAAATTTAAGGATACCAAACCCCAGCTCCTCTGGGCTCTCTTCCAACCACCAGCCAGGTTACCTGGGTGCGGCTTACAACTTCCATTTGCTTAAGTCGTTTGAAAAAAAGTATGTCCTTAATTTCCTTTAAAACCAACAGGTTGGAAAATGACAAATATTCATTTCAGAAAATGGAAGACAAGGTCAAACGGGCAAGGAGGTCTCAACATGATTCTAGCCACTGCCTGCCCCAAATGGAGTTCTACCCGACGAGCCGACCGCTTCGGCATTTTTTTGGGAATTCTGTCCTTGGTGAAGAGGCACACGTAGACCCGGCCCGGCCGTGAGACCTAGGCGCCCAGTTTTTTTTTCGGGACGCTTTCGGGAAGCTCAGGGAGACTTGAAAAGGGGGGCCCTGGCACCGTTTGCTTTTTGGGGGTCGCCCCTTTGTTGCATCTACTTCGAGTACTTCGAGGCCACTTTCAAAGCCCAACCCAACACAAAACGGCAAAACGCAACACACCCCGAATCATCCAGCAACTCAGGGGGAACACAGCTGTAAGAAAGGTGGCTTGAAAAGAATTGAGCAACTAGGACACCAAAGCCTCTAACGTGCGTTCTCCCCCCTGGACACCAAGGGCAAATATGACCAGCTTGCCTCGATGTTTGGCGATTTGGAGTGGAAAGAAACAGACCAACTATCTGCATGTGTGTTTGCTAAAGTTCCAAAAGCTGAATTACGAACTGGATCTCAGAAATACTCCCGACAGGGAGTTTTGGAGCCGAATCAGTGGTTGGGTCCATTTATATACCCTCTACAAGAATCAGAGGTTCAAATCCCGAAACCACCAACCCAAACCACCAATTATATTTCCAGTAGTGATGCCCTCTAAAACCAGCTGCAAATAACAATAATAATAATAAAAATAATAATGAGAAGCAGAATAACTCCCGTCATACCCCTATCCACTAACGTGGAACCTGACTGAAAATGTACGACAATCCCTTGGGCCCCCTTTGGCTTCTTAAGTACACTGCAACCGTCCAATTGTCTAGGCAGTGTAAAGCTGCTGTTTCAAAACAGGCTTCGCCTTCCCAAAGTTTCTACGCTTTGAGGGCCCCTTAAAAAATCGCCACAAGGTCTGAAAGGAAAGACTTGGCCGAAGCATCCCCCGCCTTTGATCTACGCAGTGATTATCGGCACGACAATGGGCCTTTCAATTCAAGCGTTCGGATTCAAGGATCCCACGACCCCCAAAAAATGTGTCTCTCCAAAAGGTTGAAAAAGTCTAGGAGCTCAGGCAGCGAGAAAGGGAGCCCCCTCTGCGTAAAGGGGGGGGGCTTCAAGGCCCTCATGGCCCGAGGATGCCGCGTCGTCAAGGACGTCAATGACGGCGCCCTCCCCGAGCTGAAACGTCAGGGCGTCCTGGGACACAGAAATCTCAGCTTCCCCTTTCAGAACCAGGAAATACGTCCGCTTGGTTGTTCGACCCCCCGGGAAAAATGAGAAAATGAGAGAATATGCCCAGTAATTAGCGGAAACTAATAAAAATAATAATAAACGTTTAACACCAACAAGTGAAAATAGAACATGTTCTTACGCAAATGGAAGAAGAATAGGTTAATCTTTGGGGGCCGTGACCCAAAATGGAGCAACACAGGAGAAGCACCGGCACCCCTTTCTTGGGCATCCTTTGGGCACCAAGGGCTTGTCCTGGCAAACATGGTCGACTCGCAGCAAAGCCAATGCGAGTCGATCTTTTGACCTCTTGGTTTCCCACATGGACCCTTTATTTCAAGCCGCCTTTGTCCTGGAGTCCGATGGTCGGTTTCCCTGCGTTGGTCCATTCTTAGTCATGGCCTCCAAAGGTGAACCTTCTATTTCTGGCTCCCTACAATCTCAACTGAGTTTACATTTGTTCGAATCTCAAAGGAATGACCAAGATTGAGGAAAGCTGTTCTTTCGACTGAGTTTTGACCAAGAAAGGGGCTGCAGGTTAAAAGGACATATGAGGGGTATCCAAGAAGTTGAACTCTAAAGATCCAACCCAATAGCAGTAGTAGAGACTTCCTGAGTGGGTTCGATGGGCCGGAAACTGTCCAAACTCTGTGCTTGCCACTAAAATGGTCTTCCCAACAAGTTCAAAGTCAATTCACCTATGGGCCAAACAGGCGTTCAAAACCCCCAAACGGCCAAACCCTGCGTTGCGCACAAAAAGGGTGTCTTTGTTTCTGAGCGGATGAGCCACAAGCAAAAAACAACAGCAGGTCTAATAAGCTTGGCCTTCAGCTCAATGTGTGCGGGTTGACCTTTACGTGGATCCGGGCGCCCATAAAAAAAATATTAAAAACAAAAAATGACTTTTACGCGGATCCGGGCGCCCAAAAAATATATTAAAAACACAAAAAATGACTTTTACGCCGCGGATCCGGGCGCCCAAAAAAAACAACTCAGCTTCCCAAGACCCCCAGAGAGCCTCCCAAAGCCTCCCGCCTTCATCTCCTTCATCAGCCTGGCGAGCTGCACGTTTCGCGTCTCCACCTCGGCCACTCTTTCCGTCCAAGGGGTTGGGGGTGGGGGGGTTGAGGGTGGGGGGGTTGAGGGTGGGGGTTTGCGGGGGTTGAGGGTGGGGGGGTGGGGGTGGGGGGTTGGGGGTGGGGGGTTGGGGGGGTTAGGGTAGGGGGGTTGAGGGTTTGGGGGTTGGGGGGCTTGGGGATGGGGGGTTGAGGGTGGGGGGGTTGGGGGTGGGGGGTTGAGGGTTTGGGGGGTTGGGGGTGGGGGGGTTGAGGGTTTCAGGGGGGGTTAGGGGGTTTGGGTTGGGGGGGGGGGGGTTGAGTAGTTGGCCGTTGGCTTGTTTTGAGATCCGGGGAAAAGAAACCGTGTCCAAACCTGGGGTACACTTTTGCTTTCAGATTCTGATCCATACTCAGTCCACCTCACAATGCAATATCACTTTGGAGAACATTCTGGACAATGAACTCCAGACAAAGGCCGTTGGGGGCGGTGGTGGAGGGAATAGCTTGGTCAATTTTTTTTGGGGGGGGGGGTCGGTTTTCCTTTAAACTCCCATTCAACCAACCTCTAAAACGGCACCCTCGAACAAGCCGCCCATGTGGGCAGATCACGCTTCGCAAGCCAGAAATAACAAGGGCCCCCAAGCGCAGCGTGCTGGTCTGCTGCTGAGCGGTTCTCATCTCTGCGCTTCTGGAATGTTTGGGGGTGTGTAGAGGCGTCCCAGGACAAGTTCTATGACTCAAAGGTGAACACATTCTCGTTGTACCCCTCGAAGAGGGAAGCTTGTTGGAATTTGTCTGCAAGAAAGTACTCAGCTGCCCCGTAGGGACACCGGAATAAAAGGTGATCTCCTTGTGAGGCCCATGACTGAAATCGGACCTCAAAGGAGGATATGTGTGAGAGCAAAACAAACGAATACAAAAGAACACTCAGCCTCCACAAAGGGGAAACCAAAAGGTCAGATCCGGTCGATTCCCTTTGGGCCTTCAGACGTTGCCGTGCCGCCAAATTACCGCCAAAGAAATGGGCGTAACCGGCACGCAATTTTCCACTTTCCCCCAAGCCAGATCCGGGGATATCACAGAAAAGCAAAAACAACGCAATGGTGACTGGGGAAAAAAAACAACGGGCCAGGAAAAAAAAAGGGATGGCAACACATTGTGACATGTGTTTCCCTGACAGCTGAAAGCTTTGGGGTCTCAGCCCAGATAGGCTCCGGGGTGATCCGGGGCCGCCCTGAGGTAAGGTTCCACGAGGGTTCCACCAGGGTTCCACCCAGGGTTCCACGAGGTTCTGCGAGGGCTGCGGGGTGGTGCGAGCACTAAAACGAGCACCGCAAGCTGTTGGGGATATCACCTGAGCTTATTCTTCTACCCGATTCTTCTCGGGGGTAGTGGCTTGGGGCTGGCGAACACCATCTGTTCAAGTGCCCCAAGCGCCTGCATCTCGGCCCACACCACTGCCAGCACCTTGGTCCAACCCGCACACATCGCCCTCCGACGGGTTCAAATGGACTTGGTCCATTAGACGGGTCTGGCTTTGTTTTCGAGGGTCACCTCCCTGTATCTTACACCTCGCAACAACCAAAACCCGGTGAAGCCGAGGATAGGGCAGTTCCAACTGGGTGTGTCATTTTTGGAGTTGGACCACCTTTCTTTTTGGCAGGGTTTTGAGGGAAAGCCAAACCACATGTTTAAGGGTTCAAGTACAAAGTTTATTCTGATGCTTTGCCATGGGCTTTCAGTAGCCAATCATTAACCCCATGTAAGCGCCATATTGCCATTGACAAAAGACCTTCTTACGGTTGGTTAGGGATGATCATGGCGCCCTAGCTTAAGCAATGTCAGACAGACAGCTGTGAGAAGGATTTCAGTTGAGCGAGCCATGACCATAGCCTGAAGCCTGAAGGAGTTTTGGCTGCCATGCAAGTTAAAATGGACCCCAAGCGGCCGCCCAAAGGGAGGTTGTTCCAAAACTCGGCATGAATTCCATGTTTTTTTTTTTTAAGGTTACCCTTTTTGGTGGGTTGCGTCGAAGAGAATCCAAAGGGACACCACTCTCCCTCCTGCAGAAGGTGGTGGTTTATGCCAGGCTTAATGCATCCCGGTGCCGATCGGCTTGGATTTCGTCCATCCTCACCGGCCCGGACCTAGAAATAAACGGTGATCACCTCTTGGAAACTTGATGAAATATGGGCCACGTCAGGAAAACCCAAAGACTAAAAGGCCAGCTTTGGGCAACTGAGCATGCTGAAGTGCAATCCCATCTCGGGTAATAAATCTATTTCACTTGACGTACTTGGGTTGCCTGCGGAAACAACCGGATTCAAGGTCGATTTGGTTTGGGCGAGTGAGTACCCCTTTCAATTGGAAGTGTTGCTCCAGGATCCATGCTCTCAAGTCCTAATACCTTGAACGCCCGAGAACAAGGAAAGCCCCAATCTTCCCCGCAGTTTCCTTGGGTGTTCGGCCAGGTGGCGGTGGGTCAAAAATAGGCACCCAAACTGGAACCCTGGTAAACGGAAACATGGACCAAAACCTGCGGTCCCTAGGGTGGTTCAAATTTTGACCCTTACCCAAGTTAGGTTGTTGGTGACCACTGGGTGATAACCTAAAACCTAAGTCCCAAGTGGATTATCAACCCTGGTGGCTTAGAACCCAGGTGGCTAACCACTTTAACTTGCAACCTCTGCTGGGCTGTCCATTCTTTATCCCCTCCTCAAAGTGAATAAAATCCTGGAGCACCCTTCGTTACCTAAATTTCTGCCCTTAGCCCAAACGTATTGCAAAACCAGGGGTCGTCACCAAAATACGGTAAATGTACACATTTTCCTGCTTCGAGCGTTTTTCCCAAAACCGGGCTGGTCGGTCCTCCAAGATGATCGGTCGCTGAATTTTCGCAAGGAGCGAGCAGAATTCGAAGTGCAAAACGAGCGCAAATATCCGCAAAACGAGCGCAAATATCCGCAAACGAGTGCAAATTCAAAAAACGTAACAATGCCCGCCGTCCTCTGGATGGAAGAAGGGATTTGGTCGAGCGTTTTTCGGGGTGCGAGCGTTTTTTGCGGGGTCGAGCAGAAATCGGTACTTCGAACGTTTTTTTCTCGTACCTAAAAAAAAGGGCACGTTGGGTGCCTCAGGATGTTGTGTTGCTGTGGAAACCCAAGCGGTAAACCAACTAAAACTCCATCAAACACCTAAGGAACCGGACACTTTGCTGGGAACCGCCAAGTCTAAAACCTGTCTCCCTGACTTTCAAACCCTTGGCATGTCCTTTTTCAGACCCCTACCAAAACTGAACAATCCAAAAAAGAAACACTAAATTAGGTCCTCCAGTAGAGAGGTCTTTTTTCTGTAAAAACCCAAAAGCAGTTGGGTGAGAAGTGAGAAAGGGCACCTAGCTGGGGGCCAGCAGCTGGCGGACCTACTAAATATCAACCAGCCATGGATTCAACCATAGTTTCCAAGTGGCCCTGGTTTCTTTGGTTTGTTTTGTGGCCAAGGCGCTGAGACCCCTGTGTCTCGCCAGAGCCCTCGCCGCTGCACCCAGCGCAGCTTGGCCTTGGCGGCCTCCCCCGCGCACCTCGCTGGGAGGGGAGTGGCTAGGCCCCCGAAAAGGGGTCCCCCCGTCCCCCGCCCCCAACCCAAAACAAAAGCAGGGTCAGCTTTTCTTGCAATAATACACACAAATGCCATACGGCCACACATGTTGTGTTCATTTTTTTAAGAAATCGCCATGCCCTCTTTGTTAGAACTTAATCTGGGGAAAAACGGTCAGCTTTTTTTTCAAAGTAATACAGATTAATGCCATACAAATTGAAAAAATTAAAGGACCGGATAACCCCACATGCGCATTTTTTCAGTGAATGGTTCTCTGGTGGCCATGCGATAATGACTGAGTGAGTGAGTGAGTGAGTGGCCACGTGGTAGCGCTCGGTCACTAGTAGAGTGCTCTCTTCTTTTTGCTCGCAAGGCAGAGTCAGGCGCTAGATTATTCACGGCTTCCTCTTCTTCAGACAGCTGGAAGTCTAATAAGCCTGAGCTCGAGCTCTAATAAGCCTGAGCTGGAAGTCTATAAGCCTGAGTGAGAGTGAGTGAGTGTGAATGAGTGCAAGTGAGTCTGGACGAAAGAGAGCTGCCACATGTTGCCCCTGCCACGCAAAAACACACCCAGATGCAGAAAATACTGCGCCTGCCACGAAATTTGCAAGCCATCTCCAAAGTGCTGCGCCTGTCGCGCAGATTGAGCCCCCGAGCCGCACGCTCGACAACATCCAGTCCCTTTAGACAGCTACCAAGTGCTGCCCCTGCCACGCAAACACACACCCAGATGCAGAAAATACTGCGCCTGCCACGAAATTTGCAAGCCATCTCCAAAGTGCTGCGCCTGTCACGCAGATTGAGCCCCCGAGCCGCGCGCTCGACAACATCCAGTCCCTTAGACAGCTACCAAATGCTGCCCCTGCCACGCAAACACGCACCCAAATGCAGAAAATACTGCGCCTGCCACGAAATTTGCAAGCCATCTCCAAAGTGCTGCGCCTGTCACGCGCTCGACAACATCCAGTCCCTTTAGACACCTACCAAATGCTGCCCCTGCCACGCAAATACACACCCAGATGCAGAAAATACTGTGCCGGCCACGAAAACTATGCCCCGTCTCCAAAGTGCTGCGCCTGTCACGCAGATTGAGCCCCGGAGCTGCGCGCTCGACAACATCCAGCCCCTCTAGACAGCTGCCACATGTTGCCCCTGCCAAGCAAACACACACCCAGATGCAGAAAATACTGCGCCGGCCACGAAAACTATGCCCCGTCTCCAAAGTGCTGCGCCTGTCACGCAGATTGAGCCCCCGAGCTGCGCGCTCGACAATATCCAGCCCCTCTAGACAGCTGCGACATGTTGCCCCTGCCACGCAAACACACACCCAGATGCAGAAAATACTGCGCCGGCCACGAAATTTGCAAGCCATCTCCAAAGTGCTGCGCCTGTCGCGCAGATTGAGCCCCCGAGCCGCCCGCTCGACAACATCCAGTCCCTTTAGACAGCTACCAAATGCTGCCCCTGCCACGCAAACACACACCCAGATGCAGAAAATACTGCGCCTGACACGAAATTTGCAAGCCATCTCCAAAGTGCTGCGCCTGTCACGCAGATTGAGCCCCCGAGCCGCGCGCTCGACAACATCCAGTCCCTTTAGACAGCTACCAAATGCTGCCCCTGCCACGCAAACACACACCCAGATGCAGAAAATACTGCGCCTGCCACGAAATTTGCAAGCCATCTCCAAAGTGCTGCGCCTGTCACGCAGATTGAGCCCCCGAGCCGCGCGCTCGACAACATCCAGTCCCTTTAGACGCCCACCAAATGCTGCCCCTGCCACGCAAACACACACCCAGATGCAGAAAATACTGCGCCTGCCACGAAATCTGTGCGCCATCTCCAAAGTGCTGCGCCTGTCACGCAGATTGAGCCCCCGAGCCGCCGCTCGGGAAAGTTCCAGTCCCTTTAGACACCTACCAAATGCTGCCCCTGCCACGCAAACACACACCCAGATGCAGAAAGTACTGCGCCTGCCACGAAATTTGCAAGCCATCTCCAAAGTGCTGCGCCTGTCACGCAGATTGAGCCCCCGAGCCGCGCGCTCGACAACATCCAGTCCCTTTAGGCACCTACCAAATGCTGCCCCTGCCACGCAAACACACACCCAGATGCAGAAAATACTGCGCCTGCCACGAAATCCGTGCGCCATCTCCAAAGTGCTGCGCCTGTCACGCAGATTGAGCCCCCGAGCTGCGCGCTCGAAGACATCCAGTCCCTTTAGACAGCTACCGAATGCTGCCCCTGCCACGCAAACACACACCCAGATGAAGAAAGTACTGCGCCTGCCACGAAATTTGCAAGCCATCTTTAAAGTGCTGCGCCTGTCACGCAGATTGAGCCCCCGAGCCGCGTGCTCGACAACATCCAGTCCCTTTAGACACCTACCAAATGCTGCCCCTGCCACGCAAACACACACCCAGATGCAGAAAATACTGCGCCTGCCACGAAATCTGTGCGCCATCTCCAAAGTGCTGCGCCTGTCACGCAGATTGAGCCCCCGAGCCGCGCGCTCGACAACATCCAGTCCCTTTGGACAGCTGCCACATGTTGCCCCTGCCACGCAAACACACACCCAGATGCAGAAAATACTGCGCCTGCCACGAAATCTGCGCGCCATCTCCAAAGTGCTGCGCCTGTCACGCAGATTGAGCCCCCGAGCCGCGCGCTCGACAACATCCAGTCCCTTTAGACAGCTGCCATATGTTGCCCCTGCAAGAGAGAGTGAGTGAGTGAGTGAGTGAGTGAGTGAGTGAGTGAGTGAGTGAGTGAGTGAGTGAGTGAGTGAGTGAGTGAGTGAGTGAGTGAGTGAGTGAGTGAGTGAGTGAGTGAGTGAGTGGTGAGTGAGTGAGTGAGTGAGTGAGTGTGAGTGAGTGTGTGTGAGTGAGTGTGTGTGAGTGAGTGTGTGAGTGAGTGAGTGTGTGTGAGTGAGTGTGTGTGTGAGTGTGTGTGAGTGAGTGTGAGACAGTGAGTGTGAGTGAGTGGGCGGCGGGGGCGGCGGGGCGGGCGGCGGACGGCGGGGCCGGACGGCGGACGGCGGGCGCGGAGCGGTAAAAGTAAGAACCCCACACAAAGATGTGGGGAATAAACAGCAGCCAGGTAAAAGTAACCCATCAGAGAACCCGGCCCCTGGGGGATGGGGGGCTAGCCTTCTGTAGCTCAAAGTGGCTTTGCGTTTCGGGTAACTGCCCTTCCTCCCACTGACGGCTGGACGATCCTTTGTCAGGTGCCTAGTTAGTGAGTGAGAGGAAGGTGAAGTTGTTGTTGAACTAACATGGTTCCACCCAAACAAGTGAACAACGTCTGAAACGGAACTCAGGAAGTGAGGGAGGGCCCAAAACCCTGTTGGTTCTACATCCAACCAAATAGCTATTAATAAGCGTTGAGTTGCAAAATTGAAACTTGGTTAACCAACCACAATTTTACCAAGTTTAGAGGATCGTTTTGGCAAGGATGGTTATTGGGTGCATCCTTTAAGGAACCCTGACCAACTCCCAGCAATTAATCGTGGGACGTGCTTCGATTCCTGACTGACTAATGTCGTGGGGCTCTTTGTCAGGTCTCTACTCACGGCAAAACCACTTTGGCGACAAAGACATTTTAGTGACCGAATCCCCCCTGCCTTCAGGGGGAGTGGGGTGCGGGGTTCGCACAATTCCATTTCTCTAGTCTTCCCCGCAAAAGGGGACAATGGGCTGCCATAAATGGAACTGATTCCAGGGATCGACATCCCCCCTCCCCTTACATTTTGAAGGGACCCAACTAGGTCCTCCTGTAATTAGAGAGGTTAGAATAACAAAAGGGTACCAACTGTTTTCTTTTGTCTATTTTAGTAGGGGAACCCCAAAACCCCCAAAAATAAAACGGTTAAAGGGCACCTAGCTGGCCAATCTACGGAAGTGCGACCCTCGGCCCGAGGCCCTCGGCCCGAGGCCTTCGGCCCGCGTCGAGTCCCGTCGAGTCCCGTCCGAGGCACAGCTCCCCCACCACAAAGTCCGGCGCGGCCGGGGCCGCCGGCGTGGGCGGCGGGCGCTTGGGGCTGGGGGGGGCCCAAAAAGGCGTCGGCTGACCTAAGCCGGTGATGTCACACCCACTTTCTGAGTGGATGGCCCCCAAAAAGTCCAAAGACTTCCCAGGAAAATCCCAAGTACCTATAGCTAGGGCAAATCAGTCCCCCCCCCAAGGAGGGGAGGGGGTCAAAATGGAAACCCTTAGGTTCATATACAGCTCACTTCACGAGTGGATGGACCCCCAAAAAAGTGCAACGCTTTGCGTTTTCCAGCTGACCTTAGATGTCATAGCCACTTCCCCAGAGCAGTACCCCGTCTTTTTACGGCGGGTTTGGCTCGTCCGGGGATTCGTCAATTGCACATTCCTGAAATCCGAGTGAGGTACTTGGACCCCTGGGCTTCTGAGTGGATGGACCAAACCAAGTCCAACACTTTTTGTGTTTTCCATTGGTCCAAACCCAAAAAGTTACTAAAGTCCGGAAACTCAGAAAGTGAGCATAGCCAAACATATGCAAACATCAACTCGGGCATCTTAAACAACATGGCTCTTTGCACCAACTCAGAACGCAACACAGGGACACCAAACAACACAACACAACACAACACAACACAACACAACACAACACAACACAATGCCAACAAAAAAAGCACCAACAACCCGACAAAACTAAAAACAGATGCCAAACACCGTGAAGTGACGCAGTGTCTTCTTGGGGCTGGGAGGGGCTGGCGTCGGCGGCGGCTGACGCGGGGGCTTCCTGGGGCTAGGAGGGGCCGGCGTCGGCGGCGGCTGACGCGGAGGCTTCTGAGGGCTTGGGGGGGCCGGCCTCATCGATCCATGGCAAGCAGCCGCTTCTACTCTCGAAGGGCGGATGGACGGCAACACTCCCAAGCTTTCTCCAACCCATTGGGGGCGAGCTGCGGACATCCGAAAAATATCGTGCTTCAATTCAAACCTAAGGAAAGACATATCAGGCTACTGCAGCGCCTTGCCGGTGGCTCACATGACTGGCTTGGCTGAAGTGGTTGCTTTGAGGATGGTGCGCTTGCTTGGGTGCTTGGACTGGGCCAGACCAGACCTGGACCCAGACATTTGGCTTGCGGAATGGTAAGCATGATGGAAAACCAAAAGAGCTCAAAGGTGAAACAGCTAAGCGCTCAGTCTGGCAATGTGAAAGGAACCATTTTTCTGGTGCGATGTTAACGCCAACCGAGCTAAATGTGTACAGTTGAGCTATCCCAGGTGACTATTTTAAATATGCAGGATACTTAGTAAGTGGCGAGTAAGCCTGGCTATAACCCGCTGAAGGAGACTTTTCACCATGGCTTTTGTATACTATCTCACTATGGTGCTTACCCATTTGCCTGATGTGCTCTGCCCCTTTAAGTAAGGTGTTTCTAAGAAACCACCCCAGGATATTCATTTTCCAGGATGACACCCCTGGTGTTTGTTGGGAATGATGTTCATGTCCTGGAAAACTTCTTGGAGATAGCTTCTTAGAGTGTTGGAAGCCAATGTGAAGTGTCCACTTTCCGTGCATCGCTTCATTTGAAATGCCGTGACCTGCAAAAGCGGCGGGGGACTGAGCTAACGGAGAAAACGAGACATATGCGAGTCAACCAGCCAACCAACCAACCAACCAACCAAGCAAACACACGAAGGGAGGACCCAGCCAAACTGTAACAGGAAATGGTCGCCCAAACCTTCTGATGAGAATAGCATGTGGCTAACTTCCTACAGCTGGCCTATGAACAACTCAAAAGATCACGCGTAGCTTCAAACGAGGGGCGGGGGGGGGGGGGCAGGTCTGCAGCGCGAAAGCTTTGATCGGCTGACTCATCTCCAGAAATGCGGCCGCAGTTGTATATTCGCAGCCCTGAAATGGATGCGTCTGTTTTTGAGGGTATTTGTTTGGTGGTTGCAGCCTGGTGGTTTGGATTGGTGTTCCTTTGGGTGGCGCTACCCCATTGACCCACGAGAACCAGGAGTTCAAATCCCAAGTACGGAGTTTTTGATGATTGAGCTCGTTCAACCGTCGTTTGGGCCAATGACTTCATGGGATCCTGGGATTCATAAACTCCTGGTTGATTGATAGGGGGGGGTCCCCTCTTAGCGGGTGTTCACCACTTTCGGAGCACCCCATATTGCCTTCGACCTTGACGCTTCCCACTGGCTGAACAACCCAGTCATAGGTTCCTTTTCCACGACCTGACATACGGGATCAAAACTTCATGGCGAGGGTCAGCGGAGTCCATAACATAGATTGGGGTGTATTCGCTGAAGTTCAAACATCTTGTATATGGCGGGGGTCATTGCGGGCTTTTACCAACCAACATGCCCACATGTGGGTATGTGTTTCTTAGGGATCCCCAAGAAGGTCAGAAGGGTGGTTGCCTCGTTCTTTCCTTTTAAAGCGGCAAAAACAGGAGTACCCCAACAGACACCCAAGAAGCTCAGAAAAAGGGTGGTTTCCTCGTTCTTCCATTTAAAGCCGGCAAAAAACAGGGTACCGGTACCCCTACAACAGACACGCCCATGTAGCAACAGCACTACAACAAACACGCCCATGTAGCAACAGCACTGCCATGGCCTTCATGGTCTTCGACAACTCCTCCACCTCCCCCACTTTCGAGGTCATCTCCTGCGCCCGTGGACTTCGGGCGCCGGGGTCCTAGGTTTACTGTGGACGTTGATTAAGAGGTCCGGAGAAGACATATCGGTTTGGCCTTCTTTTTGGAAACATGAAGCAAGAAATAATAATCTGCAATTCGAATTCCGGATTCGGCAAAAGGGAGCTAGAAGACTCCCTCACGCATCAGCGAGCCTCGCTCAGTTTGGCAAGGTGCTTTCGTCACATGAGGGGAGTTCTGCTTTCGAATATGTGCATGCGCACTTGTATTTTTGAGCGTTCCCTCTTGGGCAGGTCTTTGGGGAAACACCATTATTGGGGGGCCCTATGCTGACACGGACCCATACAGAGGAAACACATAAACCTACATGGGCTTGTGTGTTCATGCTGTGCTTCCACGTTGGGGTCAAGACGGCCCCCCGTGAACCATACAGTACTCTTTTGGTTCACTTTTTTGATCACTGTGCTGCACAGTGCCGGGCAACTGTTGCGTAGGTGCGGAACAGGTCCGTCCTCAATGCTTCCCTTCATCTTCTCCTGGCGTTGTTCCGGGAAGCCGCCGGCTTCAGTTGGCAGCTACCCCCCCCCAAATCCTTCGGTGGGCTTACCCCAGGTCCAAGCTCCGCGAGATTCACCTAAACCCAGTTGCCTTTCTGCCTCTGCTGGGATATGTTTGGTCCGTTCACTCCCTGAAAAGCGGGTAGCAACCGCCACTTTACCCCCTGTAACTCTTGGGGTGAGGATTTTGATAAGCCCTGGACCTGATCTCTCGAGGTCTTTGGGGTCGAAAGCGTTCCAAGTTTTGGGTTGGAGGCGGTCGCGTTTCGTGGGGAAGCCGCTTACCCACTGCAAGCTCCAGGGTTCACCCACCCAAATCCATACCACCAACTGCTGCAGCTTTGGCATAAAAAGTGCGCCCTGGCGGCCCCGACCCTCATCAGTGTATTGGTCAAAAACGGTCGCCATTTGAAACGGCAACCAAATAGTCGAAACCCAACCAGTAGGCCAACCAAACCCCAAAAGTGATACTAAAGTCAACGTGAACTCAGGAAGTGAGTGCCCGAATAATCTTGGTTGCTGTTGACCCCCCCTGCAAAAAGTTTAACTGTTTGGGGGTTGAGTGGAAAGCCCCGATTTCAACCAAAAAGTTAAAGTCTAAAGACCCGTTGCCCAATAGCAGTCAAGTAATAAAAGGCGCTGGTGCTGCCTTCATCTCCTCGATCTCCAGCTCCCTTTGCTCCCGCTTCTTCTTCCGCTCGAGGTCGATCTTCTGCTCCCGTGCAATTCCCACCTGAACCTGCAAGCGCGTGCTTCATCCTGGGTGCCAAATTGGGAGGGGGGGGGTTCAAAAAAACAACAGGCGGGGGCGGGGGGGGGGGGGGCGCTTGGGAAAAATTGAAGACATAATGTGTTTGCTGTTTCAAATTAAATTTGGGTGGGGGTGAAAAAGCAGTTGGGGGGTGGGGTCTTGGGAAAAATCGAAAAATTACCCCATCAGCCCCATCTTCATCCTGCGTGCCAAATGGAGGGGGGGGTGCGGGTTGAAAAACAAACTCGGGGGGGGGGGGGGTTAGGAAAAATCGACAAATTACCCCATCTTTCGGCTGCCTATTCTCCAAGCGACCTTCACGGGGCGGGGATCAGAATCGCTCACCTTGTCCCCAGATCGGCAAGCCGATGTTGCAGAAGCACGCCGCAGGTTGGTCATACTGTGGATGGACGATTTCCATGTCGCACCACCTAAGAAACCCTGGTTTCTCATGACTCCCCTGTAAATGCCAACCAACAATGGTTTCTCATGGCTTCAAAGTGGTGCAGGATTCCGTCCATCCACAGCATGTCCACGCCACATATTGGTCCCACGTCCAAAATTTCACAAAGAACATTTTAGGAGAACAACTACTACGGTCACACGCCTGACCCCGGGGCTTGAACAAAAACTGGTCAGTTGGAAGACCTTGGCGCCAAACCCATCCAACTTAGGCAACAAAAAGCTAGCTCGGCCATTTGAATAGGGGCTTTACATTTTTGACATGAACATATTGTCACTCCTTGCCTGTAGGCCCCCACAAGACTAATCAACCACATTCATCCATGCGAATCAAGCTTTGCATCATACAATCAATTCATCACATGGCATCACGAACTGAAAGAAATCAAACTACCTAGCTGGAAATAGACGGAATGCTCCCCTAGACCTGGTTTCTTCACCAAGCCGAGCGGGATGGCCGATCTGTCGCGCTGGGCCCGGGTGGGTGACTTGAGCTCTCCAAGTGTTAATAGGTCTTGAGCCTTCCCTGACTTTTCTGAGACCAAAGCCTCCAATTGCTTAGTTAGGCTCCCTGGGAAAACTGAGGAAACATGAGGAAACAAATGTCCAGTAGTGAAGTCGTTTCGCTTTACAAACCGACAGGGGAAAATCTAAAACATTCATTTCGGCAAATGGAAGAAAAAGGGATGTGGGTGCAGATCTCACCCCTTGAGCTAAGTTCTCCTTCATGGGGGCATGTAAAACTAGGTCCTCCAGCAGACAGGTTAGAATAATTAAGGGTACCCTTTTTTCTGTAGTCTATTTTAGCAGGGGGTTTCCCTCCCAACCAAAAAAAGAAGTGAGAAAGGGGCACCAATTGCTGGGGCACCTAGAACATATTCACTTCAGCAAATCGAAAGCCCTGGCCACGCCTTCACCCGCTGGAAGTCGTCCTTCTTTACGCCCTTGGCGCCCGCAGGCACCAGCAGCCTCAGGCATCACACCTTCCCCCCCCCCCTCAAGCGCCCTCGCTTGAGCGACCTCAGCGACATCCTCCCCTGGACCCTCAAACTGCCCATGAAAACGGAACCGAAGCCGTTGCTCATATAGCTGGGCTGCTTAAAATGGAGGGTTGGCCAAGCCGAATCCAGAATCCAAAAAGGGGAAGCTACTCCAAAGAACACCCCTTGCGGAACCCAAGGTAAGGATTAAGGATTACCTTTGAACAGCTCAGTATAGGCGTTGGTTCGGGGCAAAAGCCGAGGTACCATGGCGAACCCTTGCTGTAGGGTTTGGTTGCGCTGCCGAATCGTGTCGAACTCACAGGCGCATCGAGCACGTTTTTCTTAGAGCCATCCGATGGTTGCTTCTTCCGGCATGCCCGGTCAACCTAAACACGCTAAATATGAATAAGCTCGAGCAATATCCCCAACATCACAACACCCTCCCTGGTGGAACCTTGGTGGAACCCTGGTGGAACCTTAGCTCACGGTCGCCCCGAACCACCCCGGAGCCTATCTGGGCTGAGACCCCAAAGCTTTCAGCTAAAACTCTAACCACTGGGAGCTTGTCTTCCGGCCGAACCCCGCGCCCGCGCCGGCGGCTTCGAGGAGAAGCCCCCCGAACCAAGCCCGAACCGCCGAACCCGAGGGCTCGGCGTCATGATCTTCTCTGCCTCAAGGCTTTGGGGTGGAACTCGATTTTTTCTCTTCGCCGCCTGGTGGGGTTTTTTGAAAGACTAGGTCCTCCAGTGTGGAGGTTAGAATAAGTTGGTACCCGATGTTTGTCTTTTTGTTGCGTCTATTTTAGTAGGGGAACCCTCCCAACTAAAAAAGAAACGGTAAAAGGGCACTACTGGGGGACCTAGAAGATATGGGAGGTTTTTGTGTTTATTTTCTTCGAAGAGAAAACCCCTACCCCCCAACAAAGATGGTGGGTGTTCCTCTTTGTGCAAACCACAAAAGCCGGGGGTATCCTGCTTGCGATTCAGGTATGCCTCGCCCGCCAAAAAGACTCAAGTCCAGGGCTGGCCCAACTGGGCTGAGCTACCACCAACTTGGTGAAGATCAAACCCAGTGCACTCTGAAGGCAAAGGGGACCTTTCCCGGAGTCCTTTTGAACCCCTTCATGCAAAAGTGCCCAGTTTGGAAGCTTTGAGCAACCTGGGCTTACCCTAGAAGCTGGGACAAGAATGCATTTTCACTGGGGTACTCCCCCCCTCAAATTACAATTGTTAGGGGGGAAGATGTGTGAGGCCACTTAAACATGGTTCCCAAATCCGGGAAAAACGCCAAAAGGTCGATTCGCTTTGCAAGTAAGAAGCCCCAAACAAAGACGCCGTGGCCAAAATCTGCAAACACGGGACCCCTAAATGTGGGCTTCCTTTTGGTTGACTTCACCATCGAAGAGGTCCCGCCTTTCTCACTTTAGTACAGGACCTGGAGTGTCGGGGCCACTAAAAATGGTTGCCGACATGGTTTGGAACACAAGGTCAAAAGCTTGGCTTTGACAACGCTTTGAGCCACAGGAAAGCGATGTCCAGTCAACAAGGTTTGTGAAGCGCTTGTCCGGCCACAGCAAGAGTCTCTAACGTTCGAAATCCCTGAATGGCTTCGTCTAAAAGCGAGGGGACCCTCCCACATGCCACAATGCGAATGATGCTAGTGATACGTATCATGATCTCACTGACCCAAAGAACTTGAAAAAAAAAGGTTACCCGTTTTGAACCTTGACACAAATTGACCCAAAGGGGAAAACTGAAAACATCCATGTCAGTATGATCTAATTTGCGTCTGTTAAGACAATCATTCAAGCTTTCCGTTGAGTTTTACAATAATTATGTCAGTCCTGCGTGGATTGGCCACAAACAATTCATTTTTGTGTTTTCCACCAATAATAGCCTTCCAAAACAAGTTGAGAAACCCAGGACGTCAGCATGAGTGCGACTTCTTTGAGGGTACCCGTTTGACTTTCGTTGCTTTACAGGGGGCCAAAGTTGGAAATCCGAGAAAACAAAAAGAACTGTTTTGGGGTCCCCTGTTTTAAGACACACCCCTTTTTAAAAGGAGTTCCCCCCCCAAAAAAAAAGGACGACACGCAAGCAGACCTCTGGCACCACTCGACTCGGCAGCCCTGCGCAGGCATCCGGAAGTGCAAACTTGAACTCGCTCTGGGCATACCTGGCAAGCACCGGTAGCCTCCGGGGTGTCATTTACTAGGTCCTCCAGATTTGAGAGGTTAGCATAAGTTGGTACCCGATTTTTGTCTGGTTTGTCTATTTTAGGGGAACCCTCCCCAAAAAAAGGGGTGAGAAAGGGCACTACTCGGGGACCTGGTTTATGCTGTTGCGGCTTGGATATACGTGGAATGAGCTGCGTTGTTTCTGTTAACGTTGGACTTGGCGTTTACATGTTGAAGGTGGCGGCTGTTTTTGGATTGCATTCCCTGTAGCGGAGAAGCTGTTGCTTTTGTCTTCCCTTGAGCCAACATTGTGAGTGTAAACTTTTGGGGTTTCCCTTGGCACTTTGATGGGCCAGCAGCAAGAATCCAACGCGCAAAATAATGCAGGGTGGACTTCCGATTTTCGACCAAAGAACTTAGTCAGCAAGTGAGTTGGGTTGCTTCTGGTGTTACCTCTGCATATCTCGCTTCTTGTTTTGTTTTCTTTTCCGAAGGAAGTTCATCCCTGTCTGCAACACCTTAGCGGAAGGGGGTTTGCTCACAGCGTGGCTGTTCGGGAACAAAAATCCCCTTGGGACCCGCGCGAGCCCAATCTCATGCCTTCTCTGAGGGGAAAATGGGATGGACTGTTCTTGTCTCCGCACTTCCTTTGGCCGCGAGATAGAAAGAGGGACAGCATGAAAATACTTCCAGCGCAGGGGTGAAAGGTGACGAGTGGCTGCGCCTAAAAATGAGCAGATGGAATTCCCACCATTTGTTTTGGGGGGGAGTCCATGTTCCATGTAGAGGCGAACCCAATGTAAAGACGGCTGTAAACAGAGTGGGCGGTACTAAAGCGCCCACTCAAAGCTAATGGGTGTCAGGATTGCCTTTCAAAAGGGCTCTGTGCGCCGACATTTGGGGAGAGTGTTTTGGAATTCCCCAAGAAGTGGCCTGATTCCCGGCCCCACATTCCACCCAAAAAAGTGTGACACCGGGAGCCGGGAGCCGGGAGCCGCCCCCTCGAAGTCAGCGCGAAAAATCGATGCCCCGCGAAACATCGCCCCGCGACGCAAACTCCCGCAAGGCCCCGGCTTCTTCAGGTCCTTCCGGTCCAGGAACCCGTCCTCGCGGCGAAGGAGTATCTCTCTGTCGCGCGAGAGCGAGGAATTTCAGCGGACGCGCGAGAACTTCTTGCTGCTGGGGGGGGTGTCTAAAAAAACAAACAAAAACTGGAGAGAAGGCTTGCATTTTGCATGTCATTGGTTTTGGGCATTTTTGCGCCATCAAGACTGGAGTCTGAGGAGATGAAATGTCCGGGTTCCGCTCATCCTGCAAGCAAAAGTGGGGGTCGGACATGGGTTTCATTCGTCAAGTGACCAAAAAGGAAGAGGTTTTGTCCAAGGATGTGCTGGGTATCATTGTTGAATCAGCTGGTAAAAACATGGCCCAAGACCCCCAATCAGCAATTGCTACAAGTCGAGTGACCTCGTTGGTCGGCTTTCAGGTGTGGTCGAAAATGGGTTCATGTTCGGTGAGTTGCCTTAGGGGACCCAACAAATGCAGGAACGAATCACACAGCAGCATCTGGAGCCATAACTCCAAACATGCCTTGACGACTTCCATTTGCTTAAGCCCCCTGGAACAAATATTTCCAGTAGTGATAGATTCCCTCTAAAAACCAACAGGGGGAGAATAACAAATATTCTTAAGCAACTGGATGACTTAGGGCTGATCAGCCAAGCACAACTTCACTCGCTTTGGCCGGAGTGCCAGGTGATCGCCCTGTTTCTCGTCTTTCGCATCGCTCGTCTTTCGCATCGCCTTCTGTGGCAGCGACAACGCCAACTCTTTGCCCCTCCGCGCCCCGCGCGCCCAAACACACGGCGAGTGCAAGCTCAAACACGGTCTATCCCAATTTGCCATGAGAAGAAGCTGTCGCATCTACAAAGGCTAAAAAGACAAGCACGAAGAAGTCCAGTTAAGCGCCCGCAAAAGGGCTTGTCCCATATCAAGAAAAAACATGCGAGGAATCCTGGAATATATGTCCTTCCATGAGTCAGCCCCTCTGGATTTTGTAGGGGAGTTTAACCCCCCATGCTCCTCCCAAACTGATCATAACTCGACGCTTGGACCGAGCTCCTGGGCTTTTGAAATTGTGGAATAGGCCAACCCATGTCCAGAATACCTAAACCGGGAAACTGCAAAGGGAACTGAATTGCTCGTGCCAAGTATGAAGGATTACCTCTAAGTAAGCGCAATGTCCAGTGGCCGGGGCAAAACATCGTCTTGGCCGGCCAACGTTTGTAGAAAAACACGCCAAAGACTGGAACATGTCTTTTGCTACCACTGGAGGTCGAAAAAAAAGCTTCACTTGTAGGAAGGTTTTGGGGGGCCAAGGCCATTCAAACCAGGGACGTACATGTAGAGGATATGGCTGCAACTTGCCAGGGGCCCCTTTCCCCGCGCGGGGGGAAATCGATCCCCCGCTTGGCGCGCAGCGGACTCACGGACTCACGCGGCGCTGGCGGCCGTTTGCTGGCGGAAGGCGCTGATCATTTCCCGGAGCTCCTGCCGAAGCCCTAAGGGTTGACCAGACTTTTTGTGGCTCGGCCGGTCCCCTTTGGAGTGACCGATCGCCCCGTTGAACGGACCTTTTGTGGCAACAAATGGGTGTGTCTCTGTTTGAGGATATGTGTTCAAGGGAAACCAAAAGGAAAGCTTGCATTTTTCCAGGGGTTGATTCCCCATTCTTTTCAACCATCGTTCTTTTCGAAAACCAGCTGTTTCCCAAGGGTGTTGGGTGGGTTTTTAGAAAGAAGGATGCCTGGCCAAAAAATAAGCCAACCATCACTTGGGTGCTGTAGATTCCCCAGCAAAAAGTTGAACTTCTTGCTGGTTAAAAGGAAATATGAGGGGAATCCAAGAAGTTAAAGTCTAAAGATCCAACCCAATAGCAGTAGAGATCAGACCTTCACACCCCACCGTTCAAAAAAGGTTTGAAGCTTTTTTTTACCACCAAAATGGTCCAAACCCAATCAGTGACTAAAGTCAGCATGAACTCAGGGAGTGAGAAGGTGACAGGCACTTTAAACCAAACATTCTAATCCCATTGCCACAAATTGGGAGTGAATAAAGGACCTACATCAGCTCGTGCACCCTCAAATCGGTAAGCTCGCAACCTCTGCTCACTTGCCCAAAGGACCCAAAAACAAAAGGTTCACCTTTTTCTGCACCTTTACTCAAAATGGAGCAACATGGAGAAACCAAAAGAGTCAGATCCATTCGATGCGCGTAAAATTGGCAGAATCCACACTGGACACCTCCATGTCGCTCGTCTGCTCGTTGGTAGTGGGTAAATGGCTAGCCATTTACCATGTCCTGCAACCGTTTGCGATCCATCCCTTAACTTGCTGGTGCTCAGTAGGGAATGGACCCAGGCTTTGGTCCCCTTAAAGGAAAACCACCAGTGGCATGTTTTTTCTCGTGGTCATTCCATTTCTCATTCCCTACTTACCGCACCAGCAAGTTAATGTTTCCTATACACCAACCCCAGTTTCTTAATACGGGGGTGACTTTTGGAACTCCCCCCCAAAAAGTGGTCTGATTCCCCCAAATTTCACCCAGAAATGGACACCGGGACCCCTACGAAGAAAAACAATTGGTTCAGTCGCTTCCCCCGCGGAAGCGGAACCTCCATCTGCTGAAGTCCCCTGGAGAGAAAAAACAAACTTTTGATATATGTCCAGTAGTGAGATCGATTCCCTTTAAAACCAACAAGGGAAAACAACATTCTTAAGCCATTGTAAGCTTGGATGCGCTTTTTCCCCACATGCTTCCACTAGTGAAATCGATTCCCTTGAAACCCAACCGGGGTTTCATCCTCAAAAAATACCCAAATTTCACCCAAACGGAAGCTGGAGCCCTGCCAGTTCGAAGCGGGGCCCGCCTTCTCCGCGTCCTCCTTTCGCTTCTCGAGCTCCTGGCTGGCCCTCTGCATCTTTGGCAGCTCCTGAAACGAGAAGAGCGAGGCCGAAGCCGAAGCCGTGGGAAAAAACTCGGAAGCCGGAAGCGCAGGGCTAGGCTGGAAAAGTCGGACCCCAGCAAATATATATATATATATATGCCTGGCGAGTGGAAAAGAAAGGGAACCCCAAAAAGCAACAACGAAAACAAGAAAGGGGAACTTATTCTGGGGAAGATGGGGTGGCAGAACGGGGCTGAAAGCAAAAGGATTCAGGGGATTTGTGCACCCCTGTAGAAAGACGACTTCCTGGTGGAAAGGGCCTTTTTGCACTTCCGTGTTATTAGTGGGAGGGTAAGGAATTTCAGCGGGGGGGGGTCCAGTTCCCCCTTGAAAAATCTAAAACGCAAGCTGGAATTGGTCGGAGAAACTCTCAACATGGGATTCGGAGCACGTTTGGTAGGGGCCAAGCAAGAATCGTTGCCGTGTTGGAGTTTGTCAGGGAAACCCAAGGAACCCTATGGCTCTCAACTACCCACCCATCCCTCTCAACTATCAGCACCTACCCCCTCAGAAAGAGAAGCCCCATGGCCCCATGGACAGAAAGAGAAGCCACGACCCGGAGATCTTCAGATGCGGCTCCTCATCGATGCCGTCCAAGGTGCTCTTCATCTCATCCTCGCCGGAAACGGGACCCCGGAAAAGCTGCCGGGAGCCAAGCTGTCGCGTGCGTTGGTCCCCACTCAATATGTAGGCCCGTTCTTACTACCAGCTGGGTGTTGGATTTCTTTGTTTCGTGCTCAAACAATCTCTTGGCTTCTCTTGAAAGGGAACCAGGGCCTGGTTGTTTCGGACATGTTTTGCAACCTGCCCATACAGGAGTGCACTCGATAGATTTTATTTCCTTGGCTTGGCCAAGGAAGTCAAGCTGTTCGTTTGCCAACTGGCAACCCAAACAGTGACTCTTAAGTTCGAAACAAACGGGAGTAAATGGGGCGTGCTGTATTTGAGTGTTCCCGTTTTTCACCTTTGCTAAGCCTAACTCCCCAAATTTTGACATACTCATCTAGACTCTTAGTCTCCACCAAGCCAACCCCCTCGCGGGGCTGTCATGGACACGAAGAGCCTATTTTGCAGGCCCACGCCGAAGAAACACAACCAACAACAACACAAACAGCTCATGTCACCCCGGGGCCCCCAAAAAAACAAAAAACAAAAAACAAAAAAGTAAACACACAATGACAACACCCGAAAACAACGTGAGAAAACCGGAAAAAATGAGCAAGAACACACACACACACACACACACACACAAACCCCCCCCCAAAAAAAAACACACACACACACACAACGCCCCTCTCCAGCATGGACGGCCGCTCGCCCAGCAGGAAGCAGCGGCCCACCCCCCGGTACAGCTTTGTCTCCGGAGGAGTCTCCTCGATGGTCCTGCGGCTCTCAGGCTCCAGCAAGGTACGAGTCGAAAGATCTGGCTGTCATAGGCAAACCAGGAATCGCCATCATTTTTTCTAAAACAACCAAAAAGGACACCTATGCTGGCTGTTCTCAGCCTAGGTCCTGCAGTAGTGTGAGGTTAGAATAAGTTGGTATCATTTGTTCTTTCTTGTTTATTTTAGTACGGGAACCCAAAAAACCCAAAAAAAGTTGGTAAAAAGGGCGCCTAGCTGGGGGACCTAGCAGCTGCTCAAAGGACCGACCACATCTTGGGGCCACACCATGGGAAAACCGCCAGGTCCAAACACCAATTGCTTTTGGGGCTCTTCGATGTTCTTTAGACACACTGCAGGCCCTCCCCAATCCCCAGCGCAATAGCCCGCCCGAACATCAGCGCGAAGCAAGTCTTTTTCCAAAATCAGGCTCCTGTGCCTGCTTTGGGGTCCTCTCTTGTTCCGGGAGGGGGGGGGGTCAGTTGTTTAAAGGACCCAGAAATACAAGGTGATCACCTTTTGGAACCATGACGAAAAAAATGGGTACCAACATGGGAAAACCAAAAGGTCAAAAGGTCGATTCGCTTTGGACAACTGAATTGTTGGATTCACAAATGGCTTGTTGACCGCCAAGAAAAGTCAGACCTTTGTGGTTTGAGTTCAAAATATGATACTGCGGGGTACCACATCTTTTCTTTTCAATGAAGTGAATTTCATTATATTCGAGGGTCAATTCGTTTTATTCGGGGGTTGTGTTGGGGAAATTTATGGGCCCAGTCTTGCAGTTTGAGGTCACAGCCATGCCGCCACATGTAACCTGTTAACTTACAATGAAGCACATAAAACTAGCAAATGCGCTAGTGGAAAATGGAGAACATGATTGAGGTAATTATCGCTTATATACGGTGTGTCTCCAGCCCATGCGGCTAGGTCGAGCAAGTTTGGGCACTTAAGGTTGCTTCGGCCTCTGGCGCCTCAAGCGGCTGCTGACTGCTCAGGGGCCAAGTACTGCTGCCCAACCAGGCTCTCAGTTTGACACTGTCAAACCTGCAGTCGTCTAGCCACACCATTGATTGATGACGCTTTTAAAAAACCGCCCACGAGCCAGTCTTCAAGATTTATACTAATTCAAGACGCCAACTGCTTGCAGCTGAGAAAAGCAACGGGGTCAAGCAACTTGCCTTACAGTTGGCAGTATTTTCAAGCATTGCTTGCCCCAACTTCTTCCTGCGACACGCTGAGATCCAAGGCACAGTGAGAATGGGAAGGATTTTATTCGGGTTCAAAAGTTTTTGCTGCGGGGCGAGTGCCGATGTGATCGGGGCAACTGCTTAAACAAGTTTGCTGCAAAGCCAGGCCTACAAGCAGAACTGAACTCCTTCCTGAAAATGTTCTAGGATATAAAACCTGCTCAAGACTTTCACGAAGGAACCTTAGCTTTGATCTTTCGCGCACAAAATACACATAATCCCTTGAGGCACCCCGACCCCTCCCTGAAATCCACAAGTTCGTGCGGGCAGTCACCATCGCCAAGCTCTAGACCAGCGTTTCCAGCGCATTGGGGCGGTTCCTTTGATTGAAAGGTCAGGACCATGATTCAAAAATGTTGGCCTGCAACTCCACCCCCCCAAGTTCACAACAACAAGCCGGTCAAGCACATAAAGCGCGACATACTCTTCATGAATCTGTATGCTTCCCAACAAGTGTGTTGTCCAATGCAGCAAGAATCAGGCAACACACTAAGGTTCCAAAAGCTGCCCGATCTCGCAAACCGACACCAGAGGTGGTGAATGTGGCGAAAACGTAAATAATAAACAATGAATATAAATATCATAAGTTATCAAGGCACAACCTTTGTCAGCTGGCCGAATCTACCCCCCCCCCCCGAGTTGCAAGATCTGATGAGGGTGCAGGCCATGGCGAAGATTTAGAGGTTTCAAAGAAGAACCTGGATGACGATGAGTGATTTGGCCACTCGAACTTGTGGCAAGGCTAGTAGAAACAAGTTTTGGGTGCAATTTCGAGACCCTTCGCACCAGAAGCCTGCCTGCATTCTCAGTGTCCACGCAAAGCGGGGCTGCTTGGCTGCTTGCTTTGGCTGGGCCTCTTCATGATGCGCGGGTTATAGGTGAAGCAAAGGTACTCCCCATTGTTCACACGCTTCACGCGCAAGTTGAAACACCTCCTACAAATTCCGCCAAGCTTTCCGGCGTGTGACACGTGCGCCTACTGCAAACAGGTTTGTGGGAACTGTTTTCTAAAGGTCGGTGTTAATGAGTCTGTTGAGTTGCTTGACGTGCCGCTGAGGACTCTACATCAAAATTCGAGCGGCCAGGGCCTACACGCGCCGTCTCGATAAGATTGCAGCTGAAAGGAGCTTGGAAGAAATCTTCCGGGCAAAGGGTTTGCTTTGGCTTAGAAAGTGTTGCGATGGTCACTCTGCAGCCAAACGCAGGCCATGAGGCCATTGGACTATCCCTTGCTCCCCTATGCGTTCGCATGCTTACTTGGCTGTTGCAACAATGCTTGCGTATGATGGCGCTGCGGAGACGCAGCCCGGCTTTGGACATGCTGCGATTTTCTCACCCGCAGCACTGTGAAAGTTTCGTGCTTTTACTACGCTGTGTTTGCGCCGCCGCCTCCCGATTGCTTCTCCTCCCGTCTCTTCCGTCCTCGACGCCCTCATTCACTCAGTCTCACCCGCCCACCTATGCTGGGCCACTCGTTCTTTCTGAATCGCCCTCACTCACTCATCGTAACTTCTCACCTACCCATTCGCACTCATTGGCTCTCAGTCGCTCATTCTCAACTAGTCTCACTCATTCATTCCCGCTCCCTCATTCTCGTTTGCTCTTTCTCACTTGACTCACTCATTCTTACTTTGCATTCTTACTCACTCATGAGTCACGCTCACTCCTTTTCACTCATTCTCCCTCGTTCTCACTCCTTCTCACTCATTCTCACTCGTTCTCACTCCTTCTCACTCCTTCCCCTCCACATCACGCATCACCTCCCGTGCCTTTAGCATCGCCTATCCCTGTATTTCCGCACTTGAGCACTGAAAAAAGAGCGGAGGGAAGGAGTGAGCGAGCGAGTGAGTGAGAATGAGTGAGTGAGTGAGTTTGAGGCAGAATGAGTGGAAAGCACAAAGATGAGGGATCAGGCGCTGGTTTTGGAAGCGCAGGTACGGAAGTTTCGCACCACTTCTAAAGGGGTACGTACTTCCCAACATGCTTATGCGCACAGTTTTTTCATTTACGTGTATGTATGCGCTCGCGAAGCATAGCCCAAAATGGCATCCCGTTACACCAGCCAGCAGAAGGTACAGCGCCCTCAAAACAAAGCCGCCTGAGGCCTGAGGCCTGTCCTTGTGAGCCCTGCTGCAACTTCGGCCCAAACTTTCTTTTTGCAACCTTGCCCCTGAAGATCTTTGTACATATCATCAACTCTGGTTTTTTCACTTGGTCAGCGCTCCCTTGGTTCCCTGAATGGTTGTTTCCTTCTCTAAACAAAAGACTGGTGAATACTTGGGAGTGGAAAAGGCGACTATTTGGCATCCCTGGCAAAGGCGACGGTTTGGCATCCCTGGGAAAGGCGACGGTTTCGCTTCCCCGCGGAAGGCGACGATTTGACCCAACAAATCGCCAGTCAGAATAAATGCGTCACCTTTTTGGGGTTCTAATCCTGGATTTTGAAAAGGCGACGGTTTGCCTCAAACCATCACCTTCTGCCCCCTTGCCACAACCCTCCCCCGCCCCCCAACCAAGCCAACCTAAGAATGGCTCCCCTTTTCTCAACCGTTCTAAGTTCTTCCGGCCTCCCCTTTTCTCGGATTTTCTCCTTTCGCTCTTCCCTCTGTTTCACATCCTGCTGTCAAAAGGCGACGGTTTGTACCGAACCATCACCTTTTGAAAAGCCACAACTTGGATCCCTGAAAGGTGACCCATGTATGCTTTTGATTGCCTGAGTGGCTCCTGAAATTCCAGAAGTTCCTCATCAGCCAACTGATCACGCAGCGTGATGCCAAACCGTCGCCTTTGCCAGGGATGCCAAATAGTCGCCTTTTCCACTCCCAAGTATTCACCAGTCTTTTGTTTAGAGAGGGAAACAACCATTCAGGGAACCAAGGGAGCGCTGACCAAGTGAAAAAACCAGAGTTGATGATATGTACAAAGATCTTCAGGGGCAAGGTTGCAAAAACAAAGTTTGGGCCGAAGTTGCAGCAGGGCTCACAAGGACAGGCCTCAGGCCTCAGGCGGCTTTGTTTTGAGGGCGCTGTACCTTCTGCTGGCTGGTGGGGATGCCATTTTGGGCTATGCTTCGCGAGCGCATACATACACGTAAATGAAAAAACTGTGCGCATAAGCATGTTGGGAAGTACGTACCCCTTTAGAAGTGGTGCGAAACTTCCGTACCTGCGCTTCCAAAACCAGCGCCTGATCCCTCATCTTTGTGCTTTCCACTCATTCTGCCTCAAACTCACTCACTCACTCATTCTCACTCACTCGCTCGCTCACTCCTTCCCTCCGCTCTTTTTTCAGTGCTCAAGTGCGGAAATACAGGGATAGGCGATGCTAAAGGCACGGGAGGTGATGCGTGATGTGGAGGGGAAGGAGTGAGAAGGAGTGAGAACGAGGGAGAATGAGTGAAAAGGAGTGAGCGTGACTCATGACTAATGTCAGACTGAGTGAGCGGAAATGAGCAAGAGTGAGACGCATGAGATTGAGTGAGTAAGAATGCATTTTTCAATGAGTGAGTCAAGTGAGAAAGAGCGAGCGAGAGTGAGGGAGCGGGAATGTATGAGTGAGACTAGTTGAGAATGAGCGACTGAGAGTCAGTGAGTGCGGATGGGTAGGTGAGAAGTTACGATGAGTGAGTGAGGGCGGCTCAGAAAGAATGAGTGGCTCAGCACAGGTGGGCGGGTGAGACTGAGTGAATGAGGACGTCGAGGACGGAAGAGGAGGCGGCGGCGCAAACACAGCGTAGTAAAAGCACGAAACCCTCACAGTGCTGCGGGTGAGAAAATCGCAGCATGTCCAAAGCTGGGCTGCGTCTCCGCAGCGCTATGCAAGCATTGTTGCAATAGCCAAGTAACCCTGCGAACGCATAGGGGAGCAAGGGATAGTCCAATGGCCTCATGGCCTGCGTTTGGCTGCAGAGTGACCATCGCAACACTTTCTAAGCCAAAGCAAACGCTGTGCCCGGAAGATTTCTTCCAAGCTCCTTTCAGCTGCAATCTTATCGAGACGGCGCGTGTAGGCCCTGGCCGCTCGAATTTCGATGTAGAGTCC